ATAGGTAGCAGTAGGGAGTTTTATTAGTTCTGTTTCAACTGACCTGGGATTTTTTTGACCTTTAATTAAAAGAAATGCAGGATTTTATTTCTGCTAACTGCAAAATAACGAGATCTCTTAGCTGTTTAGTAACAGTAACCTCTTTCATCTAAGTACAGATTAATTAAGAGCTAATAAAGCAAAAGTTCAGACAGAACCCTGAAAACAGCATGCTAATTACTTTGCTTTATTAAATGCTATTGGCACCAAGTATTTATAACCTTCAAGTTACCTTGTCGTAATTAGCTCAGTTCTCATTAGCTGGTACCTCAGCCTCCACTCCAAGAAGTGAGAAGTCAGTATAGAAAGCTGGAAATATTTCTTAAGTCTCTTGGTTGCACAAATGATTTACCTAGATGAAAGAGCCTAATTACTTGAAAATACATAATTGCACTATCATCAAGATCATTATTGTATGTGATGAAAAAAACAACTCTAAAGGAAGACCCAGTGACATTTAAAACAGTGTGTCCTGATGAAAAAACTTTTGATTTATGTCATTTGAGCAATGTTTTCTAAAGTGGCTCTTTACATTTTAAGGATCTTTCACTGGACACATAAGTTTGGACACCTAAGATGAAGTTGTGGCTCCTGAATTTTTTTCTTCTTTTGGACACTGAAAAACTTAGAGGGCACATAACTGGACTCCAGCCTTATACTTTATTGACACTTAGAGAGAAAATTGGGTTACCTGTTCTCTGCCAGCAAAATACTTTGCAGAAAAAGCTGAAGGTTTTCTTAGTTTTTCTCTCTTGCCCTCTCTGTGTTGTCAGCTCTGCTAACAGAGTGCACAAAGACAAATTAAGCTTTCTTGTCCTTTTGTGTGGATAGGTAAAATGTTTTTCAGATACATCCCTATACCCAAAGCAATTATTCTTTCTCCTGCATAGATTAAATGTTTATAGGAATGGGTGTCAAATTGCTGATCTTGGAAATCCAGAAAGAGTAGTGATTGCATTTTAATGATGTTCTAAAATACATAATTTATCATGAAGGAATCATTTTTCCTCAGAAGCAAAACAGCCCCATAAAATACTGATTCCCAGATACTTGGTCTGCACCTTCACTGAAGCTGTCTTGTGTTCCTGCTTGGCCTGCTGCTTCCCAACACCCCAGGATCTGCAGGAGGGGGAGGTTGTGGTGAGGGAGGCAGGGGATGTGTGAGTACCTGAGCAGCAGCTTCTGCTGAAGCACTCCCAGAGCAGAAAAAGGCCAAGTGATGTCCCAAAAAGTGCAGAGTAAAATGACATCACATCAGCTACAGCTCATTAAACCTCTTTACACCAAGAACTCCACTCTGAAAATGGCTTCAGTTCTGTTTCTTCCCTCTCTTGCAGGGATTACAAAAGAAATACAATGTGGAAAAATTAAAGCTGCTTCTGGATAAGAGCTCCCATAGAGGGGCTTGCTCTGCCTAACTCACATGCTTTCACATTTCACTTTCTATTAATTTGTCCATCCTTTTCAGAAGGTCTTTGCCTGTACTGAACAGCCAACAGGACATGAGAAATTTTACTCAAAAGCAAAATAATTTCTAATTTAATGGCACCTTTGATAGTATTGTCAGACAGTAAAACAGTTAAGCAAGCAAGCGTTGAGAGATGAGATCTGCTTCCCAAAAAAAAGAGGAGGAGAAAGGCTTTGTGGAAAATGATGAAGCTGCCCTTGCATTTGTTGCTGACATGAAAGCGTGTACTGATGTCAAGTGTAAGATGTTAATGCTGCAGCACTGTGAGGCTCTGTCTGTCTGCTTGCCAATTTAGTTGAAATGTACATGATTACAAGTAGAATTACCAGCATATTGAACTATTTCTCTTTTCAAGTGCCTGAGTTCTTTAGCAGCTTTTCAGCAGGAAAATAGTCATAAATATGTTGGTGTGACTGCACAAAGAAGGCGTCATTCCTTTTTGGTGAGCCAGAGTTCAGCAAGGCAATCTTGATTTATTCCTTTGATCAGTCAAGGCATTTGAGTCTGAATATTTGTGTTGATGCTGAAGAAATTACAGCTGTCTGTTTGCTGAAGACAGGCTGACACTTGTAGCTTCTCTGTGGCAGACTCTAAAGTGAAATCACATGGAGATATTTGAGGGCAGGAGGCAGGGTGGTTTCCTGGCTATGGAAATGGGAAGCAGGTTGGAAGACAGGAGTTTGATCCTTGGCTTTTCAGCTGATTTACTTGAACAAAAACTTCTGACAGCCCATGTCATCTGTCCATGCCTCTGTCCTGTTTGAGAGATGAGCAGATCTGTTGTTTTGCTGTTGGGTTAACTTTTGTCTATCCCTTGAATTGTAACAGGGCCTTTTTCTGAGATTTTTTTTTTACTATTAGCGAAGAAAGGAGTCTTTCATCATATATTGAACACTTACATTTGATTTCTGGCACTAGGAATTTCCTAAACCTAGTCTGTGAGCTTAGGAAAAGTTCCAAAGAAACTATATGTGAAAGGGATTATGCAGCCAGCGATTTATTTTCTTTATAGTACCAGCAGAAATATAACATGTACTAAATAATTATTTATAAACATATGAAGACTTGACTAGATGGTTTTAAAATAAAATCTTCAGTACTGGTGTATTTATGTAACATCTCATACAGATACCCAGAGGGGCTGTTCATAAACAATCATAAAATACCAGCAGTTTACCTTCAGCTTATAAAGCAGCATGTAGAAATGAAATTTCAGGCTTTTATTCCCCCTACTTCTCTCTCTTTCTGTCTTTCTGATGGAAACTCACAGTAATAGGCCCTGCCATCTGCTACTATATATTTTTCATGAGTTTTAACATTTTGTTTTTAGAACCTGAAATATGAGTAAAATGTCAAGTCGCCCAGAAAATAATCACAGGCACGACAACTCAAATGTTAACTCGGCTTGTCTGTACCCAGAGTGGTTCACAGCAGGTCTGTGGTATCCCTGTTCCCAGGCAGAGCAGGTACACCCTTGGAATTAGCTAAACATTGCCAACACAAGGCAAGAAGGTGGGAACCACACTGGCAAAATTAATTCCCAGGGAAGAAGTGAACTCTGTGTTGCATTGTTACAGAAATGTCTTGGGCCTCTTGCCACCTTTCTCCCTTCTTCTCCCTTTTAAATGTCTGTTTGCCATTCTGGTTTTTCATCCTGCTGAGACCAGACTGGAGGTGACAAGCTGGGCAGGTGTTAGAAAGGTGCAGGATAAAACTTTCAGCTCAAAAAAAACCTAAGAGGATAAAACTTACAGCTCTTAATGTGGAGGGAAAGAAGTGAGCAGCCCTTGTGCCACCTGGCTGGCAGGCTGTGCTCAGCATCCCCTTCCCTCAGCAGTGTGTGTGTGCCCTTAGCACTTAGGAATAGAGTAGCTGGATTATTTGCCTCCTGCCTCTTTAACCATGCAGAGAGAAAATTATTTCATTGAATAGGTTCTGAGCAGCTCAAGGTTGGTTTTCATATAAATCCTGGGTGCAGATTTGCTGCCTTTCATTAGAATAAGAAGCCTCCTCAGAGATCTCTGCACTCTCAGCCTGTGCAGAAGCCCTCGTTACAGCATTGCAAGATTTTTCACTTAATATTCTGCTTCATAAGTCTGGAGCTTGTTTTCAATTATCTCCATTCTGTGCTTCATTTTGCACATTGCTGTAGAGTGTCTCTTGTTCACAGGACAGTTTTCAGGCTTTGCAGTGAAAGGTGATGATCTTTACCAGGTGAGCCCTGGGAAAGTCCTGAAGAAGAGCCTGTGTGCTCTAATAAGGTGGATATTGCCTCCATCTGTAAAGTGGGTCCTATTTTAAGGAGCTGTAAGTTGAGTGTACTATGCCTAATACCTAAACAGGACTGGACTTCCTAGTGTTTTCTTGTCATTGGCATATAATTGTAGGCAAATCACTTATATGATGAAAAAGACTGGCTCGTATTTTTCAAGGCACTAAGTTGTCTTTGCATTTCAGGAGTCGGGCACCTGCTAGATCTTTCAACCTTTGAAAATCTCCAGTCATTTTGATCTTTCTTGTGCAATTAAATACATTCACCATTCATAACACAGTTACTCTTCTCTGACAATAGTAATGTTTTCGACCACTTTGTTGAAATCATTGTGCTATACTGTATGTTGACTTGGAAAACTTTTTGATGACCTTTTGTCATTTATTTTGTTTTTGCTTTGCAAAGTTTGGAAAGCTGGGTTTCTGTGTTCCACCTGAATGACTGAACAAGAGAACAGCAGGATGTAAGAGTCACAGAGAACTGCTGAATGTAATATGTAAATCTGAGGAGTAACAAATCAACAAGAGCATATTGAAATCAAAGAGTCAAGCTGCATCTGATGAATAATGCTTCCCCCTTCTTCCTACATGGTGTTTTTTTGTTTGTACTACTTCAGTGCAAGTACACAGATGCTGACAGTCAGTATGCTCACTGTCTGAGAAATGAGTCAGAATTTGGGGGAATCTGCAATCCAGGTCTTTGATGTGCAATAGGGTTCATTTAGCTTCTTGCTGTCTCTAGATTTTTCCTTTTGCATTGCCCATGATTTTGAGCCATGACTGAAATGCTGTGGATATACTTGAGCTGATGTAGAGACACAGCTCTGACAGGTGCTCTTCACCCTTGTGAATGGGGCAGTGCTGGGGCCACAGGATGTGAAATTCATTCCTGGCTGTGGCCCAGGGTTGCTGAGTGACCAGTGGAAGGTCTTTGCTCAGTGTCTGCCTTTGTTTTCCTAGCTCATGATTCACAGAGTAACCCAGCATTTAATAGCTGGTCATCTTCATGAGGAGAATGATGGAGTTTTCATGCGGTCTTTAATCTTTATGTGCTAATAAAAATATCTGTCCTGCTCTGTCTTACATCAAGTGCTGTTTTTAAATAGCAAAACCAATTGAAAAGGCACATAACTGTAAAAATATTTATATTGTTATATTAAATTCCTGTGCCAGGTTGTGTTTTCTGCAGGTATGTTTATGTGCTGGTTTGTTTCTTTTTCAGGCCCTGCTTGATACTCAGAATCTTTTGAGAGCCCAGATTACAAATTTTACTTTCAACCTGGGATTTTCAGGAAAATTCTATCACACAGGTAAGAATGAAACACTAAAATTACTTTGATTTTGATGGTGTTCTGTGTAGTGTGAAGACAAGTAGGAATGATAGAGTCTAATGCTGTGTTCCTGCATTAGCTGCTCTTGTGGAACAGATTAAATGCCTCCCTCCTTTTTATTAAAATTTAGTTCCTTTCAGTCAGCTTTTGAGTGGTAAATTCCACCAGTCACATAAAATTCTGTATTGATTTCACTGAGGCATCTGTTGAGCTACCACAATTCGTCTTTGTGATTGTTTCATCTTTACTGTAGAAATATAACAATGTATATTATCCATTAAAATAATTTTGTTTTAAACCCACTATAGAAATAGGAAACATAAAATAGAGATTATTAAATAGGATGTGGGCTGGCAAAGTGGTCCTGACTGTCCTGTTTTGTCACCAGTGCCTCAGCAGGAAATGTTTTAACTGGTCACAGTTTATGATGTTAATATCATTCTTATTGTTTCCAGCATTTGTAGAAAACATAATAAAAGCAGAAACTTTACTTCAGAAATGCTTGGAGTTTTTTTGTTCTGTTTTGGTTTTGTTTTTCATTTTCTCTGCAGGGACTGAGGAGGAGGATGAGGGTGATGATCTGCTGCTGAGATCTGTGGATGAGTTCTGGTGGTTTCCCCACATGTGGAGTCACATGCAGCCACACCTCTTCCACAACGAGTCCTCACTCGTGGAGCAGATGATCCTCAACAAAAAATTTGCCTTAGTGAGTTATATTTTTGCATTTTTTATTTAATTTAGGTACTCAAAAACCACATTTTCAAACATGCAGTTCTGCAGTGATACCCAAGAACGTTTTGTATATTCCCTTTGAATCAACTTTATGTAAACTTGTTTTGAAAAGCATCGCCTTTACTAATTATTTATTCACAGCAAAGCTCTGAATCAAAATGTTTCAGTGAGAATATAAGAAAAAATCATAACAGGTTTTAGGTCTGGGGCTATTGGAGAAACAGATGACAGTTAATTTCATACAATAAACCAAACCCAAATTGCCATCCATAAACCATGTTATTTGTCTAAAGAGGGGTCTGGTGTTACGACCTAATTGTATGAAAATATCTCAGCAGACATGACTTGTTTGCTGAACTGCATCTGCTCTTCCAGCAGCCTGATTTTACTTCTTCCTTTTCAAAATCCACTGGTTGCTCTTGAGCTGGCAGGTGATGACTTTGTTCCTGGAAGGAGCAGGGGGATTTGAGATAGTAGAACAACAAAGAGTGTGCTCCATGGTCATGTGTCAGTGAGTGTAGGAGAGCAGGATAGAGCTGATTGTCAGCCAGTTAACGTTTGTATTTGAAAACTTGGCTTTTAAGTGAGAGACATGCTTGCTTTCAAATTAAGATTTCACCAAATTTGCTGTAAATGGTAGTTGTACTGAGTACAGGACAACTCTAATGTTTCCTTTCAAGAAAGCATTGCAGTAGGTGTTAGATTCCTCAAAGTTTAAAAATCTTCTGTCCAGAATAGCCTTTTTAATATGAATGTGTGTACTGGTGCAAGCTCCACTGGAAATAAAATGGGTCCTTGTAGTTCTGGTGTGACATAAGCCATCCTCAGGGATTAGTGTGCAGGATGTAATTGTTAGAGTTTATAAAGATAATGCATTTTAACTCTGGTTTATGTAACTTCAGCAGTTGCCATTTTCATCATTACTTTCAGTGTTTTTAATGCTTACAGGTACCTTCTGTTAATTTTTTTTCACCTTTAGACATACAGACATGAAGCTGCTCATTGTGTTTCATTTGCTCAGAGCATTTAAATTCATAACAGAGAGAAGTAGCCACATTTTTGAAAGAAGCCAAAATTGCCAGTGCCTTGTGCATTATCCACTCAATGTGTGTATTGTGTGGGAGATGCTCAACTGGAGAATAGCAGTCAGTAAGGAATAATGGAGACATTAATTCATTGAAGATGATAGGCTCCTTATTAGAGTGAAAGATTTAGATTACAATTTATTACTGCCTATTGTGAAACTTGAGGGGAGAAGCCTTAAGAATCAGACTTTTGTTTATAGATAAATGAATGCAATGCAGTGGGATGTTAGAGAATACAATTTTTTACATGTTCTGTGAAGATTTTCCTTTCTGATGTTTATGCATGCTTAAGGGCAGTAGGAAAGATAAAAGGAAGAAGAATTGGATTGTGTGTGATGGAATTAAATTGTGTAAAGCACATTCTTTAAACATAGACAACTTGAGGTTCTCTGCTGTGATTGAACCAGGCGTGTCTGTTACACACAATAAATGGTTTTACTCACCTCACACACTGTTTTTGTAGAGATTTTCCTGTTCTTTAGTTACTAGTTTATTCAGAAGATCAGGTATCAGCCAATGCTTTGCACACACAGTATGATTAGGAAATATGATGAAGATGACCTTATCAATTCAAGCCATATTAAAAACTCTTAAGAATTAAAAGCCAGTGCAAGAGCAGTCTTCCTAAATCATGGCAAAATGTTATCTTATGGACTGTGCATTCTGCTGATCAGGCTAGCAAGGAATATCTGCTATATACTGTTCCTTTGAAAAGTAACCTGAAGAAAATGCATTGGATGTGAAGAGAATGTAATGGCACCAAGGTGAGTGTGTACACATGAGAAATACCAGGAGCCTTCAAAAATAGGAGATGTGCTACAGAAAGGTTTACTCTACAACATCTGCCTGGAGACTCTTACAAGTGGTTATCTTTGTTCCTTTTTTGACCTGATACTGAAATAGTTAAGCTGGTTTTTCAAAATGGATTTGTGTTTTGAATGGACTAGAGGGAAAATGGAGTGAATCTTAAAATTCAGCTCCTCATCCAAGTAATTGTGAAGGTACACATAGTGGGAATTGTGCTTTTGTAGCTGTAGCTGCCAAATGCTACGTGTTGTGTTGAGTGTGTGCCAGTGGTTTTCTCTCTGAAATCAGATTCTTTGCAAGAACTTGAAAGAGTGCAGCTTTCTGTTTAATGTAGATTGAAGAAACCAATGTAAAATGCATTTTATCCTTCTTCTCTGCCTACTCATAAAAATATTTTCTAAAAAGGCTTTTGTCTTAAAATCCTGGGTTGCATCTTCACCCTGCTGCCCTCCATCTCCTTCCAGATCAGCATATTTTGATATTACTGTTACTTGCATTTCAGACCTGTTCTTGGTCTTTCACAAACAAAGCATTTGAGAAATGCTAAAAGATCAATTTTGTTAAATTTTTGAGTGCAGCCGTTGTTGCATCATGTTTTAGGAACACGGTATTCCAACTGACTTGGGCTATGCAGTGGCTCCACACCACTCAGGAGTCTATCCAGTACATGTTCAACTTTATGATGCCTGGAAAAAGGTTTGGAACATCAGAGTAACCAGCACAGAAGAATACCCACATCTGAAACCTGCAAGGTATAGACGAGGCTTCATCCACAAAAACATCATGGTGAGTTGTGTTGCTGATGTTCATTTTGTACTCTGCCATTTCATGAACAATTTCCTTTTAAGTGGAAAGGCAGGCTATCCTGAAAGTTCACATTGTGAGAAGCACATAATTTTATGCATAAGTGGCAAGATGTATTTGACAGTGTCTTGTTAATTAAAGTCAGTCTGATGCTGGTGATGTTTGTGCTGATGAAGGCACCCTGCTGACAGCAGTTAACAGGCTGTTAACTGTTCTGGCCCTGTGGTTAATGCTGGTTCTGAGAGCTCAAGGAAAAAGTCAATTTTGCATCATTTAGTACAATATACTGGGTTAGATTTCTATCAGGTTTTCAATTTGCATGGTACCATTAACTGCAGAAGAGTACTGCCAGGTTCTGCCTCCTCAGAATCTGGATCTGGGTGGGTACATATTTTTGTCTTCCCATGAACTGTGGTTGCCCTTGTTTGGCTTCCTGCCGTACACAAATGTGGGCTGGGCTTTGGAGCCTGGTTTAACCCGGAGCTGTCAGCCTGGGTGCAGGCAGAGCCTCAGGAGCTGCAGGGAAGGGAGACACCCCCCACACCACCTCCAGGCTACCAAAGTGCTCTCAAATGTCACTGTTTTCCTGAATGACATATCTGCCAGCACTGCCACTGGCAGCCACGTTTGCCAAAGGAAGGGCTTGTACACAAGTGACACGGAAGCCGTTTGTGCTGTTGCCATCTGGGCACTGGGGTGGAGGCTATTTCGGGTTCACATCTCGTCAGTATTATCTCAGAAGTGTTTCAAAACAGCTCTCCAAAATACTTGGTGGCATGTTCCCAAGTAACTTTGTTCTGGAGTGTGTGGGAGAGCAGTGAATGGGGGCCCTGGGTTGTACCTCTGGCTGCAGCAAGCACTTTGGGGAGGTTGGGAGCCTTGGCACAGCACTGCCACTTAGAGCAGAATTCTGGAATTGTTCTCAGGTTGCTATGGATACCACTTTGCTAAGCTAAGTAGTAATATTTTAAAGTTTTGATCTATTTTTGGGTGAAGCAAATGAAAATGATCTGCAGGAATCTAGGAACAAAACTGACACCACTATAGGGTTGAGCTGCAGTTTGTTCTCCTCAAAGCAATCACTGCGTGTGAAATAAGGGGTTTGTGGGTTTGCTCAGGGAGCAAAAGCATTTGGGGAAGACAGATGGACTCAGAATCTCCAAAAATCCCTTCCATAAATATTTGTAAAAGCACGTCATTTGAAGACACATAATGAGATTTAACACAAGGACGCTGCAGCCAAAAATCTCTTTCCAAAACCAGTCGTATAAAACCACCTGCTGAGGGAGTCCCAAGCTTTCAGTTTTCCAGGGCAAATGCATCAATATTTTACATCTGCAGGCTAATAGTAATGTAGTAATTGTTGTGTAAGATTTGTCAGAGCACCTCCCATCCAGTACAGCTTCATTCCCTGCCTCTGTGAAAAATTTTTCTCATATTTCTTCAATGAAATCCAAAGGTTTTTAAAAAACTTAGGCAAGTTTATAGCAGATGTACAAATTCCATACGTTTTCTGACAACAGGAATTTACAATCTGTGATCACAGTCTTCTCTCCATCACAACAAATTGTTGAGATTGCAAGAAACAGAGAGTATCTACAAAGCCACAGCCTGTGTCAAATAAGGCATTTTTATGCTTTAAAAGTTTATCTGTCATAACAATCCCAGTTAAGCATTGTACATGAACATTCATACTCAACTGTTGATTGTTTCATAAGGAATAGACATAATTGAAGTACTCTCCAGTGAATTATTTTCTGTATTCAAGAGAAAATATTTTGAGTTTCTGATGAAAAGCATAACTGCATTTAGTAGTTCTTCATATTCAAAAGATTTGTTCTTGGATTGTTTTCAAAAATAATTTTGCTTGTACTATGTATTTCAGCTGTTTTTTTTTAAAAATAGCCTTGTTGAATGAGAAGTAAATCTTTCTTATAAGGTGGGTATTATTGGCAAAATTCCCCATGTGTCAGAGTAGGATTATTGGTGGTGATGCCTAAGCCAAAAAAAACCAAAATTTGCCTTTCCAAATTGCAGTTTAAATTTACAACAAAGCCATCATTCACATAAAAGTGGAACTGATTGATATGATATAAAGTGATGATATTTTAGATTATCTTTCCCCTTTTAAAACTTGAGACTTGAAATATTTGGGTTTAGGATGCAGTGCTATGGACAGGATGCATTTGAGTAGGCTCTGGAATTGTAATTTGCTGATAGAGATCAGTGTCTAATTTCAAATAAAATGGGATGAATTTTTGGATTATATGATTTTAATGATAATAACTCATCTAGATCAGTACTGATTTCCAGCAAAGTTGAGAAGCCAAATAAACCCAGCAGTTTTCTTTTATATGTTACTTTGGCTTTTATCATCTCATTTAAAGTATAAACTCTTGAATTTTTTTATGTTTTTTTCATAAATTCAGGTGCTTCCTAGGCAAACTTGTGGCTTATTCACCCACACCATTTTCTATAAAGAGTATCCTGGAGGTCCAAAGGAATTAGACAAAAGTATTCAAGGAGGAGAGCTGTTCTTCACAGTAGTTCTCAATCCAGTAAGTACAGTGGAATTTTGAAATGTTTTTTTTTTAATTAATTGAAGGAAAAGTTACTGAGTGTTCCAGGGCTGATCATCTGGGTCTCCCAAACAGTAATGGTTACTGACAGTGAGTTCTTTCGATTTTTTAATTAATTAAATTAAGATCTAATGGTATATATATTCTTAGTTGTACAAAGCAGTCTCCACCTTTTTTTGGCAACTGTTTTTTGTTAGTAATGCAGCAGTGCCAGCCTGTCTTGTTCTTTATTTTTTGCATGAAATAAAACCACTGAGATTTAATTTTTTGAAGAATTGGAATGTAAAGAACTGCTGTGAATATCTCAGGTAAAGTTCATTTCTCTGCTGTGCTCAAGTTGTGATGCAAAGTGTTGGGAGCACATCTTGAGGTGAGAAGGCTGCAAGCAAGGAATGCTTGGGCTCCAGTCACTTTTGAGAAATTTCAGTTGTTCTCTCACAGCAGCTTCAAAGAAGAGATTCAAGTGGAGGAGCCACTCAGTTCAAAGAAAAGATCTGGGTAAATGAACCACATGAGCTTAACCTTTCATTTATCTTCAGTGGAAGATAAACAAGAAGTGAGGCACTGAAACTCCAGAGCAGTGACAGAAGGGAGCAGTGTAGTACTTCAAATGGCAGGAGATTAGGTCAGCTGCCTCAAAACTGACCTTTTAGGCAAGCTTTTAGATGAGGTTTTCATTTGGGGTCCAAATCAAACATAAAAATAAAATTCTGCTGTTTTACAAAAATGCAGTGACTGAGAACACCAAAGGGAACAAAATATATTTCCATTCAAATCTTTTGGAATAACAGCCTAAATATTTTGCACCTTTTTTTAATCTTCTGCAGTGTAATGCAGCCCAAAGGAAAACCCATTTCTGAAAGCTACTTCAGCAATTTAAATACAGCTGTATTTTTCAAGCCTCAGATTCTTTCAGGCAGTAGTTTTGGCTCTTTGAGAGCAGTTACTGTGTTTTGTTCTCCTTTTTCATATTCACATAACAGAATTAGGAAATAAAAACTTTACTTCCTTAGCACACATGTGGTTTCCCTTGTAGAAGGTTGCAGTCCTGGCTTTGATGATGTGTATCATTCCAGGCACAGCATAGAATCAGTCAGAGAATGGTTTAGGGTGGAAGGGACTTTCAAAACCATCTGTTTCCAACCTCCTGTTAATAGAGCTGAGACCTGGAAAATTCATTGGGTGGGGAGAATATTGGCACCATAGCAGTCCTTTGACAATGTGTGGGTTTTGACTAAAAGTTTTTAGGTGAGCTAATTAGAGGAAGGCACAGAACAATATTTTGAGTCAGGACAAAATTATATTCCACACTGAAATACAACCACAGCAGCCAAAAACTATTTTACAATGTAGGAAAACAGCAAAATTTAACATGAGTGCTTGAGGCATCAGCCTTTTAAGTTAAAAGAATGAAGAGAATGGAGGGGAAGACAAGCAGTTAAACATCCATGATTTTTGATATTCATCATGGAGGTTTGATCATGTCTGCCTGACATCCTGGAATGTGAGTACAGTCATGTCTTTTTATACATTACAATTAGGTCCTTGATTCATGCATTGCTGTGTAGACTCTGTCATCACCTACTTCTGAAAATTATGATATCCCCAATACAATACAGGCTAAAAGAACAGAAGTTAAATGCAGTGTTTTCTAAATATAACTGTAAATGAACATAAGGCCAAAATCTGCCCAAGACTCCTTCTGAGCAGTGCCTTTGAAAAGATGATGCATCTGGTTCCTAAATGTCTTTCTGTGAACAGTTCCTGACGTTCTAAGCATGAGCCTGGCACATAGTCAGTTTTAAGATTGTTTTGTATCTTTGTGTGGTTTAGGTCCTGCATGTATTTATGTCATGCTTTGCAAGTCAGAGTTGGGCAAAAATTTAGATGTTAAAATGAAGACTAAGTGGCTTTAGGGGTCTTTCTAATTATGGAGTGGCATTTTGGATTTCATAAGCTTTCTTGTGTTTTCATTAAAATTGTGATATTTCTTTATGTCAAACACCCAGCTGTTGAGAGGATGAAAAATTCTGTTATGAGGCATTTTCAAAATGTTGTTTTTCACTAATACAAAACTAAGAAGAGAAAACACTGCCCATGAATCATTACAATGTCAGCTAAACAATGTTCTCAATAATGACTACATAAATAGTTAGTTTCCAAACCTGGAAATTGTGAGTGTGGATTAAATGTTAAGATTAACAAACTTCTTCATTATATTTAATTTGGAAGTTAATACAATTTTTGAAGTGTAAGTTAATGAGCTGAGACTTCAGGAACTGAATACCCTACTCTGAAATAAGTGCCCCTAAGAATGAAGGCCAGAATTTCTCAGTGGTTTGGCTGTGCAGTGGATTAAGAGAGGCTCTGCCTCCTTACAGATCAACCACCTTGTGCAGGATGAGCCACAAAATTCACAGACTGTGTGTGCAGCTGTGGGTTTTTGTCATGAGAGCCAGCATGAGGGCCCTGTTCCCAGAGCACTGCACAGGCAGACGTTGTGCAGGTCTGGACACCTCAGGAAATCCTGCTCTGCACATGCTGTTGGTGTCACTGGGAGCCAGCAGCTGGCTCCTTGGAGTAGCAAATCTCACAGCTGCCACATTGTGTTCCTGGCGTTTGCATTGGTGCCCCTGCACTGGTGATCCTGACCACTATTCCTGTAAGGCATCCTGAATTCTGAAGTGCCACCAAGCTGAAAAAGAGCCCAAGCACTAAGAGAACACTATTCCCCACTCTTCAAGTGATATTTTGTGTCTGTCTCCTGTTAAAGCTCTTGCTGACTGCAGTGGCCCTTGGGCGAGATCGTGCTATATCAGGATCTTGCACAAAAAGTTTCACAGGAAGAGAAAAAGCAAGCTTCAGCAGCCTGTATTATTGGTGTACTGGCATTATTTCTCCCACATTATCAGTTGAATAATTGACTTACAGGGGGTTTGAGGGACTTGCACTGATTTAGCTAGAGAATTCTGGGGTAAAGCCACCAGGAAAATGCACTGTGGAAGTGTGTAGTGATGAGTGTCTTACCCGGTCAGAGACATCTCTGGTTTATTGTCTCACATTGTTACTGGTTTTCATACCACTGTACTGACTTCAAAGCATTTTAGCAAGTGTATTTCCTGATAACCTTTTAGAATCTTCAGTGGTTTCAGATTAATCTCTCTGCAATATCCAGTGAAATTCTTGGATTATTAAAACAAATTTCTGTTCAATATTTGTTAGAAAAGAATTGTACCAGTTGCCTAAATCTGTCCTTTGAAGGCAGTGAGCCATTAGTTTTTGAGCTATTTATAATGAAGAGGTCAGTATAGACACTTCCATCAACTGTAGCATTGCTTCTCAGTTCCCTTGAACTGTACAAGATTCAGATCTGGAGCTTTTCTATCCTATGAGATGAATGTTTAAGGGTAACTCAACAGTTCATGAAAATTTTCTGTACCTTTTCTGCCCCCAAGAAAAATAAACAGAACACAGTAATTGCATTATGTGCACTTAGATGCACTTCCTTGCACAACACTGCATGTCTGCAGATAGAAAGGAAAGGGAAAATGCCCTGTGGAGAGGAATTTGGTGAAAGCCTTCAGATGGTTGACAGCCCAACAATGAAACTAATGTGTAGCCAGCTGTGTGCTCTTGACATGGTTACAGCAGTGCTGATGAAGAGGAAAGGCTGTTAATGCTTTAGGCATTTTGATTGATCTTAAAATAATTGTAATCTTTGTGTGTGTTCAGTTTTAAGTATTATTTTCTTCTAATTTTTACCTCTCCCCAGTTGCAGTGAGCAGAGCTGTTATTAAGCTAATTGACTTGCAGCAAGGGAGAAATTATCTCCTTTAGCACTGAAAATGAGAGGATTTGTATGAGCATCAGCAGAACCTGCTGTATCTCCATGTGACCCTGTACTGGCACTACAGAAGAAAATCAAAATCAAAGACATTCGGACTCACATCTTCCCTTTCTGTCCATCTTGCTTGGCACAAGCTGATATTTAACTCCACTGAGTGTGAGAAGCAGGAAAGGTGGATCATTGTGATAGGCTTGCCCCACTTCGTGGGTGAGAAAGGCATGAGCTTCATCTCTTCCCTGTCCTCTCCTGCCCTTAACTCCAGCAATAGTTGGCATCACATGGGGCAAGGGGGGAAATCAGTTTGGCCAAGCATTTTGGCTGACTGCAGAATACAAGTATTCTTTGCCTTCCTATCTGCTCTTCAAAACCGACCCTTAAAATCCAAACAGTCTGGTATTTTGTGGGTGGAATAGGAAAAAACAAACAAACAAAAAAAAATCCTAAGTGAAACAGGCAGTGTGGAGGGGCTGTGGAACAGACAGGAATGGCTGTCTCTTCAGAGTTGATTCCTTGTAACAGTGGGCAGGACACACAGTGAAACTGTGGCCAGCAGAAATCTTTGCTCTTGTATGACCCTTAAAATTCTTGATTTGTGAAGGCTTTGTGCCAGTGGTTTAGAGTGAAGCAAGTCTTTTGAACAGTACTACCACTACTGAGTCACAAGGGGAATGAGCAGCAAAAAATCAACTTGGGGTTCCTGACTGTCAGATCAACAATTCAGAACTACATCAAATACACGATTTTGTCTGAGCTCATAACCCTTCCCTGGCTCCATCATATTTATGGTGGAGACACCATAAATGGTGTCAATGGAATTGCACTCGTTGGCAGTCTGTGAGTGGACAGGGCTGTGGCAGCTGTGAAAGCAGCAGGACAACCTCAGGGCTGAAGAGGGAATTGCAAGCTGGAATCTCTGTGGTGGAATTGAATTCAGCTTTTCTGAAATCATCCAAGTCTGAAAGAACTGTCTTTCAGCTATTAAAAACACATATTCAATATAGACTCTGCTCTGATTTGTTATTCCATCACTTTGGTAGTGTAATGGAGCAAAACCTGCTGTTACTGAGTCTCTGAATACCTGAAACAAAACTGTTTGGAGTAACTTGGAAACAATAGCAGAACTGCAAACAGAGTGTGCACAATGCCAAATTAATTGCAACATTGGTGTTCTGAGAGTTGGATGTACTCTCGTGGCCTGTAAACATGTGCTCAGTAGCTGAAATACCAGCTATATTCCAAATTGGTGCTGCATCTGCTGCTAGTGCCTAGCCTAGACCACACAATTAATTGTCAGTCATAATCTAACTTCATTTTGAAGGGTTGTGCATAACTTCATTGAGTTGGGAGGCCTCAGTGCTGCCTTGTGATGTTGTTGCACAGATGGGAGGGTGACACAGTGCCTGTGACTGAAGTACCTGGATGACTGCTTTATTAGTAGGAATTGATTCAAGTTGGAACTGCTTGCAATACGTATATATATGGTCTAGAAATAAGTGCCCAATATGTAATAAGTGTTTATTACCTTTTTTTTTCTTATACCAGCTCTTCTAGTTCTAGATTTGAATTGCCAAAATAATTAAACTCTTCAAGATGATCAGTGTCCTGCAGGTCTCAGCCTTCCCTCCACTTCCCTTGCTTTCACAGTTGATGTGTGAAAAAGTCTTCTCTCTGCTCTGGGGTCTGATCCTGGCAGCTTAAGAGACCCCTTGACACCAGGGCAAGAAGCCAGGAGCCCTGGGAAGGGCTGGTCACTCCTGGGAATGGCATTGTCATTCCTTTAGGAGGCAGGCACCTCTGTTTCATCAGGAAACAGCAGCTGTTACCAAGACTCCAGAAGCTTGGTTTGTGTCCTTGTATAATTTCAGTAGGTGCAGCATCCTAATAATCTTAATGTTGTAGTGATCAGTATTATTTAAAATACCCAGCCAGTTAACATCCATCACTGGAAGATGGATAACTTGTTGCATTGTTCCATTCTGTGTAAGTTGTTTGTCAAGCATCTCTCTGTTCTTAATACATAAATTAGATTATGCTGGTTCATCTTTTCCTGAGCCATGATTTAATAGCAGCAGCTCCTTCTCAGTCTTGACTCTGGTTTTTTGACCTAGAAGCTATTGCCTCTAATTGGGAAATGTTGTAGGAAGGAAATATGCAGCATAGAATGAGCAGTCAAAAAGATAAAAGCTCTTTCTCCTGAGTGCTTGTTCTCATTTCCCTACATTTGTGCAGTACCAGTCAGAATCCCAGATAAAGCCAGGACTGGGGAAGGAGAGCAAATGTAACTTAGTCCTCTGAACTTTGTGTCTGGGGCAGGAGAAAATGCTGAGGAGAAGCTGGAAGGAGAAGGCAGAGCACAGGGGAGAGCACCTTTGCAGCTGTGATGTGAAAATGTGTGAGAGCAGGAAAGGAGCTTCTGCCCAGAGGCTAGATTTAGTCCCAAACCATCATTTTAAAAATTGTCTGCATTCCATTTCAGTTCCCTCAGTATCCTTCAGTGAAGGATATTAAACCCCGTGGAGAGTGTGCATTGAAGTGCAACCAAGATGATGGTTTGTTTATGAGGAACAGCTAAAAAAGGGTGATGCTTCTGCACTGAAATAAAGAAAATGCTGAGATGCCTGAAAGAAATTATTTGAGAAGAGTGCTGGAAATAATAAAATCAAATAAGCTCTTTTTATCTGAAAGGCAGGTTAAAATGCTTGTTAGAGTAAATATAAGTCCATTCACAACTGCTTCCCTATTGAAGGAGGAATAAAGAAATATATGAAGTTGTGTTTGTATTTTACAGCATTTCCCAGAGGTGGAAGATTATTGAACAAATGGTGTTATTTACTAAGTCTAGCCCTGGGACATGGCCACAAAGGATTCCTTTTAGAGCTCCTTGATCGGTGGTTCCAAGAGAGTAAATCTTCAGAAGCATAGCATGCTGTTAGTTGCAGAGAAAGACTAATGATTCTTGTTAATTAGAACTGGTTTGAATGACTCAGGACTATTTACTCCATGGTATCATAGAGCAAATCAAAGCATCATAAACCCAGTATGGAAGGGAAAAAATAATAATTTAGTTTTGTCCTGGTGTGAAATGTCACCACCTGCAGATGGAAGGGGATTGATGTGTGTTCCCATCCTTCTGCACAGGGAAGTGGGGAGTGAGCCACCATCCCTTTCAGCCAATTTGTGATATTTATGACACCACCTAAAAGAGTCTTTTTCTACCATGGAAAGTCATGTATCAGGTCATGTATCTGCTTGGCTAAGTATGGATTTCTTTACAAGACTCAGCCATTTAAATTTTCAAACAGCATTTGATTATCTTTGTGTTGTAAATAATTAACCATAAAATATTTGACTTGAAAAATATAACTAAAATGGGAGCTTAGGTCTCTGGTAATTTTTCCCCTTCACTGACAGAGTTTTATGTGCTGGAAATTATTTATGATGATATGTCCAGTCAATTTCTCAGCCTGTACTGACATTCTTAAAATTACAGTGATATTCTCTTCAGGGAAAGAATAATTATATTTTCCCTGAAGTAGCAATCTTTTCAACATCTCTTGCTTTTTCTTTCATGGCAGTGCAGTAGCTGTTGGCAGGTGAGGAGTTGCCAGGAGGTGAATTGACATTAAAAATGTCAGAGGTCAGTCCATGTGTAGGAAAGAAAGAGGCTGTCAGGAAAGCAAGTTAACCTTTTTTATGGAAACCTGCTGATTGTGACTTTAGTGAGAACAACGTGATTCTGTGGCTGCTCTGTTCCTGCTTTGAGAACTGAAATAAAAAAGAAAACTTGAAAAGGTTATACATTTGGTGCCTAAAGGGAAGGGGTTTTCAATCTCAGTCTTAGCCACAAAGAAAGATCATCTCCTAGTGATTTAGCAGTGTGTATCTTCTGATTTTACTGTAAATACCAGCTTTTCATTCATTTCTTTTTATTTCTTTAAGTTTAAGACTGGAATTCCTTTACAAAAGATTTTTCAGTTCCTAAACTAATTTCAGAATTATGACTGTGATAAGCTTTTCCTTTTTTTAAAGTGGCTTACATCAGGTCTTACTTTAAATAGAAATTGCTCATTCATGGCATTAGCAGATTTATTTATAAAAAGAGTCATGTTTCTAATTTTTTAATGGAAATTAGTCTGGAGAGTTTATCTTGGGGCAGTTCTACTTTAAAAGGAACTTGAAGAAAGAAATCACTGGTGGAGAGGAGAGGGTTCGCAGATTTCAGTGTAAGAACAGACTGTGGCATCAGTGAAATCTGCCTTGGAAAGGGATCACTGTAGAAAACAGAGGGTTGTGTGCAGCCCTGCCTCAGTCTTTGAGAGCCCATCCTTGTAGTCTGTGTATTCCTGCATTGCTCATCAGCTCGGTTTAGGTGTATCCAAAAATGCCCTTCCTGTGAGAAACCTTCACGGAAGCATTGCTTCCACTGGGAGTGCAAAAGTGCAGTTGGAGCAAGGCCTGGAGCAGGAGGGTGTGTCTGGGTATCACCTTCATGGTAAGATACTGGGAAAATAAAATATCAGCGGCCTTAAAACTTTCAGTGTTTCTTCTTTGGGAATATTCCATGCAGAGTTATTTGAAAGTACTCAGGTTTCAGGTTGGTTTTGTGTGTTTTGTGTGTCAGGCCACTGCTTGCAGAATACCTTTGTAGAGGAACAACTTATTCTGTCCAACTTAGACCTGCAGCCACGAAATGAAAGTCACAGCAATAGAGTTCAGCTGCTTCCCTAATCTGTAGCTTCTTTACTCTTTCACAAAAACAGAAATTACGTTTTTAACATTTGTATTCCTCTTAAAGTAAAGCAGTGGGCATTGTTTTTGCTCTATCCCATGAAGTAAATGCACATAAAGGTGCTGTCCGTGTTGCCCAGCCCCAGGGTAGCACTGCACATCCTGCAGCTCACACAGCTCCTGGGACGTGTTCCAGCGTTCTCCTCATTGATTGCATTGGCTTGACTTAAGCAGAAAGAGTGAGGGGCCAGGGTAGGAAGGGCTGTGTCAATGTGAGTGATCCAAGGCTTGCTGCTCTGACTTGAGAGCAAAATGCAGATGAGATTTGCGTTACCTGGGGCTGCACTGCCATCTAGTGCTGCAAGGACTCGAGGTGTGCCGTTCCTTTTGTCTCCCACAGATCAGCATCTTCATGACACACTTGTCTAACTACGGCAACGACCGCCTGGGCTTGTACACCTTCGTGAATCTGGCCAACTTCGTTCATACCTGGACAAACCTGAAACTGCAAACCCTTCCCCCGGTCCAGCTGGCTCACAAGTATTTTGAGCTATTCCCTGAGCAGAAGGACCCTCTCTGGCAGGTAAAGGCTGTGCAAGAGATCAGAAAATAATTGTCGTGGTGGTTTTGCTTTAAATTCTTTGTTTCGGTTTCTTGTAGAGAAAAGCAGTTATGTTTTTAAGTTGGTTCCATAAAACAGCCAACTGAAGCTTCAGGATGTAATTGTGTTCCTTGTCACTTACAAAAGGCTGTGAAATTAAGATGTGTAATTAAAATTATCTTGAATTTGTTTTATTTGTGACTTTACTTGCCTTTAAAATGTGGGGAAAGGCAGGCAAGTGCATACTGTGTTATTTGTCTTCTCCTTTTGGAGCCAGCAGGAATAAAGCATTTGACAGGCAGATTTATGTGTCTTCTAGCTGTTCAAGAAACGAGTTTTTCTCCAAGTGTGTAAGGAGAGGAGGACATCCAAAAAGAGAAAAGAGCAGTAAGACCATGGATACTCTAATTAGCCAAGTGGAAGTAGATGAGATAGGCCAGAAATTATTCACAGTAGGCTGGGAGCTGCCCAAGGAAGAAGCTTGCCAAGAAGCTGTAGATACCTGAGTCCTGACAGTGATAATATTAACCCAAATAAAATCTTATTAAGGTTGCTTGGTAGAAATACTCTAAGGAGCAAACTTTACTAAATCAAACATAAAAATGTATTGAAGCTTGCTTACTAAAATGTTTTCCAGCCTTGGATATTGAATTGCCAACTTAGGGTCAGAGATTGCAAATTTGTACTTAAATATGCATCTTGAAATTCATGCTGGTTTTGAATAAAACATTGAACTAGAGGGGAAAATGTCAAGAATTTTGCATAATAGTAAAGAGAGAATAATTTTAAAAATGGAAATTAGCCTGTAGCCAAATAACTTGAAAAATTGTAATTACTTAGAAAAGACATTTTTAAGTTACAGTGACTAAGACATACATTGTGTGGTGTATTTGGTCCATAATTGATGTGATTTTGGGTACAGGTATGTATTCTTAAGCCTCAGAGGTGTACATGGAGATAATTCTCTTCATCTCAGTGCAGTATTGCCAAACAACAGTGTCAAAAATTGTTTGTGAGTAGCATTTCCAGAACAAATTTAAGCTGATTCGATTGTGAAGCAGCAAAGGTTAAAGATGAATATTAGGTACTGATTTGAATTGGAAAGTCAGAATGTATTTGTGACTAGAAAGCCTTAAATCACAATTAACTTATTCTTTTAGTTTTAAAATGCAGTATATATAGTGTGGTAGCTGTTACAGGAATGGGGCAACTATATATCTGTAGGACACATTTCTTCAACATCCTTCTCAAAAAAAAAATTCCAGACACTTAAGAGAATCAGGTTCTGACCTGGTTGCACTGGAAGTACCATTCTGAATCACTGGAATAATTCTGGAATGCACTGGTTTTCAGTCATAAGGAAAAATAATACTTTCTGGGAAGAATATTTGTACACGGGTGAAAAATAGGTAATTTATATATAAGGGTAATTTAAGATCCTTTTCAAATGTGATTGCCAAGGAAATTGTGAGTTTTGTTCCCTGTTTCAGAACCCCTGTGATGACAAACGGCACAGAGATATCTGGTCTAAGGAAAAAACCTGTGATCGCTTACCAAAATTCTTGGTTGTAGGACCCCAGAAAACTGGTGAGATTTTCCTTTATCCCATCTAGATAGGTTATGTGTAAGTTCAAAGAAGTAAAGCAATTAATCACTGTTGACTCAGGCTGCTATGTAGAGATCTTGATCATCCAACAGCATTTTTTTATTTTCAGATACCGTGCAAATACAGCTTAATAATGTAAGTTACAACAGCAGCCAGTACACATGGAAAGTGCAGGGTTCAGGTGTGAGACAGGTTTTTTGGGGCTTTATGTCAAAATGAGTAAACTTTGATCAGGAGGTGAACAAGACAGACAAGCTCTTGTCAAAGTGGAAAAAGGACAGGACAGAGACGTCTTTGAAATGGGCTGGATTGTGAATTGCAAGTTCTTGTTTTGCACGTGTCGTGTTGATAGAATCTTGTTATTGGCGTTTTTTTCAAGTCAAGAAGTTCCTAATGGGCAGTTTTAATTACAGGATTGCAGTAGTTTATAAATGGGCTCAATGGTTATTTTTCTTCTCTGTAATCAGAAAATTGCATGTAAGCTTCCTTCCATCTTCACTAAGCCCCAGTAGCTACTGAATGCAAGATCTTAAAATTATTTTTGTGACAGTCTCGTATACGTAAAAAATTATTTTTTAAAACACGGCTATTTTAAGTAGGAAAAACAGATTTCAACACTGGCACTCCAGTGCCAGTAGTATGAACTATTTAGAGTTCTTTAAATGTCCTAATTCTAAAAGCTCATAAAGCACAGGATCTTAGGTGACATAAATCGACATCCCCTCAGTGAAATGAAATGGAGTAAAGCTGACTTAGTCCCGTCTGCAGCTATGATCCCCCAAAAATATGTGCATGTGTGTATTTTTATTTTAAATCTTGGACTTTTATCCTGTTTGCAGGTACTACAGCCTTGTATTTGTTCCTGATCATGCATCCTTCCATCATTAGTAACTCCCCCAGCCCAAAAACCTTTGAGGAGGTACAGTTCTTTAATAGAAATAACTACCACAGGGGGATTGATTGGTAAGATGGGTTATTAGTATAAATATAAAAATTTATATATTGTGAACAATAGAAAAATGACATTACTGTTGGTAATGGTAACTGTGCATATAGAAAGTGAGATAAGAAATAACCTTCGCTGTCCTTCTGAAATGAGAAATAAATGCAATAATAATGATCTTACTACAGAATGTCTTAAATGCACTAACTTTTGTGAGGCTTTCTTGTAAATATCCAGATATGAGTGTGCAGAACAGTAACAAAATACGTATTTCTCCTTACACATGCTTTTGCAAGTGGGACAGTAACGGTTGTAAGTTGGATATATGGACACAAAAGTCATGTTCCCGCTGGAAACCTTATTTCTTAAGGGAAAAAAATACAATCAAGAGGAGGCATTTCTTCCTTTAAATAGGATATAGCAGTAGCAATAATGTAAATAATAAAAAATGGGGGCAGGGAAAGCCTCTCAAAATGCTCTTTAAAGATGAGGTAATGAGGAGAAGAATGTGTCTGTGTGGGTCAGTAAGTGGTGAGGAGACAGCCTGTGTCCCTGCTGCCACCTTCTCTGTGCTCCCTTCAGGCACAGCTGCTCCTGAAGGTCACTCCTCATTCCTCTGCTTCCCCAAAGTGCTGCACTGTAAAGCACTGCAGCAGCAAAGCTGGTGACATGCTGTAGTGGCCGGGGAGCACCAGTGAAGGATTATTGATTTCTTGTCTTGTTTCTTTATTTTGCCCCCAGTTTAAGGGAGAATACTTTTATTGCCTTGGACTTGGTATTCATCCATAGAATTAACAGGGTGAGCTCTGTTCTGTGCTCTCAGTGCAGACACATCAGATCCGATTTGTTGCTATGCCACTTGTTTTCCCGGAGTTGTAATTGCTGCAGCACATGGTCACTGGGAGGGTGGTGCCAGTGGAGAGGTGCTGGGTGAGTGAGTGGCAGTGGGAAATGGCTGCTGAGGCCGTGCAGGCCGGGTGCAGCAGCTCCATGTTAATGGAGCAGCCAAAATACAGCGAGCCCGTTCTTCCGTGAAATCAATGTTTTCACGTTGTGGGAAACTACTGTGCTGCTTCTATCTTTGCTCCTGCCTTACCCACTTCCCTAAGGTACAATTTGGCTGCCACACACATCAGGTTACCCTTCATCTTAACGTGGCACCGGTGCATACAGCTCACAGTGGTCAGCCTGTCTAAACCTGGCACATCCCTTTGACAGGTTCTCACCACAGCACCCACTCTGTGCCCCACCAGCCCTGCCAGGTTCCCACAGTTAAGTATTTTCAGATCCTCAGAACTCCCTGCTGGTGAGGCTGCCTAATTCTTAGATTTGCATTCTGTCTGCCAGACACATCTCTGAGCCCACCTAGTCCACTAGTGTATTTCAGTGCTGGCTGTAATGAGCTTGCCACTTGGTAATTAGATGCAAGGGCTCTCCTTAGTCTGTTAATTGGCTGGGATTCCTGCAAGAATCACAAATGACAATCAGTTCAATTTTGTCTACGGCACTGGAGATAGGGCTTTATCCCTGAGCTGACTCTTAGTCTTTGTCCAAGCTTGGATTTAGGACAGGGCCAACTACAGAAGCAGAAGAGGGTTCTTTTACCCCTCATAACCTCAGTTACTGCCATTTTGAAGGGTGTGTAAATGTAAATTGTAGGCTTCCAATAGACATGGCAGAATGTAAGATGAGAACTGATCTTGCTGTTTAAATGGAGAAGTCTAAACAGACCTGTCCCATATTTCTTTATGTAAGCTTGGTTACAGATTTCTTGGGCAAGTTTCTCTAAAGCCTTCTCAGCTTTGCCCTTACTGAATTTAATAATTCTCATGAGTGAGGGACTGAGCAATACTTTAGTGTGTCCAGCAGAAATGCTGACCCTAACCTTTGAAACCTCTTGATATCACACCTGGTCCTATCTCTTTCCATTTTTCACTGATAGCACATCACCTTCTACTTTTTTCAAATTTTCTGTGTTACTTAAAGAATCAATTGACTTTTTTTTGTCCAAAATTCAGTGTGATGTTAAAGGCTTGTAGTCCTCTTTGCCTTGTATTTATCATTTTATTTCCAGGACTTCAGTAGAGCAGCATAATAACTACACCCATGATCTAGAGCAGATTTGCACCCAGTCCCTGTTGCCTCTCTCAAAGCTGGCCTTTTCCTTTCCTGGTGAAGCATTCTGAGCCCACGCAGTCAGGCCAAGTCATTAGCTTCTATTAATTTTCTCAGTAAAAATGGGTACAGCTTCATCATTCTCATCAAATTAGCCCTAGTACTTCTGGGAAATAAAATTCCATTGACTTCAGTGGTTACAATTTTAAAGCCATCAAGAGCATGTCATTTGTACTGGAAGTTGCTCACTTGTATGAACAGAACAAAGTCTAAGCACTGGAGGAAATCTCGGTCCTTAACCATGGTCTTCAGAGGAGGTTTTTTAAATAACCTGTATTAAGACAATAAATGTTAACTGAAAAGTCAGGAGGGCCAAAATTTCCTATTTCTTGTTTTCCCCAGCAATAACAAGAAGTGGTCTGAGGGCCAGGGATAGACAAGTCCTGGTATGACAAAGCAATTGCAGGAATTTAGCTACAACTTCATAACAGATGAGGAAAGCTCACAAAAAACCCGAAAACAACTACAACCCAATTTTCTCAAAAATGTGACTCACAGAAAAATAAGTGAATTGTGTCACTGCTCAGAAACCTTTTACCTGATGAAGCTGTGGGGGATTGTTTCAGTGCATCTTCCCCATATAAGCAGCCTCTTACTCTTCTCAGTGAAAGCAATTCTGATACTAAGAAGCTTTTTCTTACAGTGTTGCACTTCAATTGGTGTCAGCAAAAGGGCAGATTTGGAAAACTCAGTTTCTACTTTAGACTTCAGCAGTTTGTTCTGACTGAAAAGTGAGAACTTGTGAATTTTTAAATGAGTAAATACTGTAACATTTTTATCCAATTAAAAAAAATCAGCTGCAATGTCTAGTTACATGTAGTGAGAAGCAAGCTAGTACCAAGTAAAATATTATCAAAGATACAATGTAAACTTTGGTTGGCTTTCTTTTTTTTTGCAATTAGGCTTTATTTTAATTGAGTATTCTAGAATAAAGTATGCTTAACAGATTTATCAGCCTTGGTGTGATTTTCAAGTAGTTCTGAGGATGATGTTGCTTTCCCAGGTACATGGATTTTTTTCCCACTCCTTCTAATGTCACCACTGACTTCCTCTTTGAGAAAAGTGCCAACTACTTCCATTCTGAGGAAGCTCCCAAGAGAGCTGCTTCCCTCATCCCCAAGGCCAAGATCATCACCATCCTCATCGACCCGTCCGACCGTGCCTATTCCTGGTACCAGGTACGCACCTGGGACAACATGGGCTGGCACCAGGCCAGGCTTCCATCCTGAGTCCTCTCTGCATGTCCTCTCAGGAGATATCCATACAGCCAGTGACCATCTGTGATCACCCAGGGGCTGAGATACCTGTCATATTTTAAGGGTTAAAATACCAGTAACCATTTTTTCAAGTTATCTATAATGCAAGCATGAAAAAATAATTAATTAATTTATGTAATCAGCACATACAGAAATTAGTATATAGACAGTTATCTAGTTCATGCTCAAAATACACAACAGGCTAAGAAATTTTTGTCAGTAAGAGCAAGCAGTTTTGCCTTGTTTGCCCAGCTTTTGTGGTCTGTGAAGTTCCAGCAGTGTCACTTCTTTTACAGCATCAGCGATCGCACGAAGACCCCGCGGCTCTGAAATTCACCTTCTATCAGGTGATCACAGCTGGCCCTCGAGCTCCCTCTGAGCTCAGAGCTCTCCAGAAGAGATGCCTGGCACCTGGCTGGTATGCTACCCACATTGAAAGATGGCTCACTTATTTCCCACCTTACCAGGTGAATAAGACTCTGGACATCCTCATCCTATAGATAGATACATGTATGTGTGCTGTCCTAAAAGTTTACCTTGGTACAAGTCTTGCCTACTGACTGCTGATCTCTGGGATATCCTAGAAATCATTACCGTCCTTCTGGCCCCGGGTAAGGTCAAGCCTCAGAAGATGCACATCCTAAGCCCTGCACATCATTTGGTAACAGCAGACCAGGCAGACAGTATCACATGATTGGTATCTCCTTGGGAGATTTATTTCTGGAATGGAATTTTGTGACATTGGCAGCGTGTCTGGCACTGCTCCCCACCCAACAGTTAGAGGGAGGTTGGCTGCAATCCCAACCTTCTGTTTATCCAGGACTCTTGTAGCTGAGACAAGTTGGCTGGAGTCTGCACCTTCTGTTTTCCCTGAGTGTGCCAAGGAAGCTCTGATGCATCTAGCTGCTGTTCTTCTCCACATACTCTCTCTTCAGCCAGCCTTGTATCTCCTTCCTGAGACACACAATGCTGTAATATCCTGACTCTCGTATGAAATTCTCCTCATTATGTTTTCATTAGCTTTTCTCCACATGTAACCCGGGAATATTGATTAATATGCATTGTCATGTAGATTTTTGCCAGATTTTACGTCCCACAGCGATGATGAAGAATCAGCCCTGATAGCATTATGTTTTATCTGGAAAAGTAGTAGCCATTAATAAATTTTTTTCTTGGCTGGGCCAGTCTCTCTCAATTTCCTGACACTATTTCTTATCTTTCTGGATCCTTCTCATCTATTTCTCTGTTCTCACAACAGCTTCCAATGCAATATAATTTCAGATTTAATTAAGATGATATTTACCCTGCTCCCAGGTCATTAATGATCATGAGAATTAAGACTGGGCCCATTATTGTTTCCTGGGGCAGTACTCTTTATGATAAAGGAGTTTGACAGAGGTGGAAGTTGCAGTTGCAAGCCAGAAATCATGAATTTCAAATTAAACTTCCATTTATTTTCTCTGTTATAGTTGCTAATTATTGATGGACAGCAGCTGAGGACTGACCCGTCTACCGTAATGGATGAAGTACAGAAGTTTCTGGGAGTCTCTCCTCATTATAATTACTCTGAAGCCCTAACGTGAGTTAATTAGTTCATCATTTTCACATGTTCCTACATTCCTAAAATACCACCTAGTCTGTAAGTCAGCTCACTGCAGCATAAAGCCCTTCACAGTTCTTTGAGCTGTTGGTAGGGTGAATTGTTCAGAGCACAATTTGGGGTTCAGTTTTCTGTGAATTATTCCCTGAGCCACTTGGCTTTTACAGAAGTAGAGCTCTGATAGTCTAAGTGCTGCTTTGTGAGAATTGCATATGGATTTTGAATAGATCCAAATCCATTTTACTTTCACAAGTGGAATATGGAATGCTGATATGCAGAAGCAGAAAGCAAATAGAATTAATTTCTCTTTATTTTTGAAATTAGCTGAACAACAGATTCAGTTACATCAGTCAGGAATGTAACATCTACTCCTTTGGATTCTGACTCCTAGATTTGGTTACACACAAATTTTACACCACACGATGTTTGTTTCAGGTTCGATTCACATAAAGGATTCTGGTGTCAGCTCTTGGAAGAAGGGAAAACCAAGTGTCTTGGAAAGAGCAAAGGCAGAAAATACCCTCCCATGGATTCTGAGGTAAACCATGATGTTCGTGGGCATTGTGCAGGGATTCACTTGGCACATATGGGACATGACACAAGCAAAATCATGGGAAGGCAGAGAAGATAAAATGAAGTAGGTGTTAATTATTTGGCCACCTTTCCTTACAAAGGAAATGTTTAGGATGGCTATGGGCTGCATAGACATTCAGTTCTTTATTTCAAATGCAAAGATTAAGTAGTTAAAAAACAACAGCAACAAAACCCCTCCACAAATTCTAAAATAGAAGACTAAAACTCAGTGCTGCTTCTGAAGTCCTGTCCCCTTTACTTTATGGGCTTAAGCAGCAGAAGTTTCACAGTGCAGGTTTCTTCTCAGTCATGATCAGGTAAGTGTGTTTGTGTGGTCCCTTGTCTTTGAGACTAGTTAGACTGTGACAAGTAATGCAGGCACTCCCATAATCCAGTTTTAAGAGAGATGAAGTTCTGTTCCTATGAATTTTATAAATACCTTCCCCAGGCAGATGCTCAAATGGAGAAATTTCAATCGGATCAAATACTGCAGCCTGTACCCAAGGGCAGTTCAGTCTCCTGTTCCAGCTGTAACTTTTATGTTAATTCTGTCTTGCATTGCTATTTCATTTAGCCTGCCTAAAATGCAAATAAAAACTTATAGTTTGAACAGCAGTAAGAATTAATGTACCAGGTAATCTGGCACTTTTTTCTCACCTAAATTATAAATAACTTCACATCAGTAGAATCATACTGATAAAAAAACCATTAGGTGAGAAGGATTTTGGTCAGAGATAAGAAGAGATTCTGTTTATGCAAACTCTTGCCTTTTTCACCTCTAAATGCTTCTGAAAATGGGGGTCGCTAAGTGATATAAGTCTACATACAAAGGTATTTTAGAAGGTGTTATTTCAATCACACTGCAATAAAAGTCTCTCCATCACCCTCAGTGTGATTCTAAATGTACCAGACTAAGAGTAGAATCAAATTTTGCTTTGAGCTTGGTGTTCATTTTGGACAACCTTTTTCCCCTTGAAATTACCTTTCAGAGTTCAGCTCCTCGTATGCAGTAGATAGCATAAAACAGCATAAATTGCAGAAAGGAATTAAAGTTTTCAAATTCACAGCAACTGAAATACAGCATTTTATTAAATAAAATCTTCTTTTGTATCCATCAGTGCAGGGCCTTTCTGTCGAGCTACTACAGAGATCACAATGTGGAACTGTCCAAACTCCTCCACAAACTGGGACAACCCCTGCCATCGTGGCTGAGACAGGAGCTACAGAAAGTGAGATAGCATTGGAAAAGAGATTTTTGAAATCTCCCTCCACACCTGAGTCGTCATAGCTGAACTTTCCAGCAGCTACCAGAAGGTCTTGTAAGATATACCTCTTCAAAAAAGTGTAAAGGATAGAAATTATTTCCATATGCTGGCATGTGGATTGTAAAAATACCTGTGTTCCTTAGAGCTCTGGTGGGCCAAATCTTTCTCATAAACATTTCTGGGCCTGTGGACTTGTGGACTACTGTGCACATATGTGGAAGTTATTTACAGCTGGTATAAGCGTCAGAGATACATGACCTGTCCAATTCCATGGTAAATACTCACATTTTTATATATCAGTTGTAAAGTATTGTGTCTCATGTAGGTTTTGTAGCCCTTTGTTGGACCACTGGCAGTTTTTCTTAGGATTTGATTCTTGTGTTGCATAGGATAACTTAATGCAGCACAAAATGCCCAGAGTACTTCTGCCTTTGGAATCAGCTTGCTAATGCCCAAAGTGTGAGCAAGCACAGGGGAGCAGTGCAGTTATCATGTGTCATTCAGCTGTGCATGGCAACAAATGCACCCGGCAACAAATGCACCCAGCAACATCTGCAATCCACAGGTGTAGAAAGAAAACCACAAAGAAGCCAAACAGAACCTGTGATTATATCTGGTGACAACAAACCCTTACAGTGTGGAAGGGCCTTTGTCTGTAGTTAATGTGTCTGATTTTGTACTGACTGAGATGTGAATTGTCTGAGCAGAAATTTGATTGGATATGTGAAGCACACAAGTTGGAGTATTAGACTTGAACAATTGTGACCCAAACTGGAGCAGTGCAAGGAAGAGGCTTTCACTCCTGGTTCTGTGAACAGTCAGATCTGAACACTGCACTCTGGGCCTACATTACTCTGAGTCAGGAGTGACTCCACTGAAATGAATGAAAAACTCTTAAAAAGCAGAAACAGATCCTTACTTTTATTGCCTTAATTTGCACCACTATTTTTCCCTTAATTTATTTGCCTTTAACCTATGCTTTTTATCCCTCAACCTCATTAAAATTGTAGCATCTTTCTGCAACCTTCAGATGATGTCAGCTGCAAAAGTCACCAGATTTCCAGATGAAAATACCAGTTCTGTTTCCAGCTACATTAAACATGTTTGGTGTTAAATATTAGGTATCAGCTTTAGAGGGGAAAAAATGAACACGGTGTGTAGTCATGGTAGAAAATTACACCTGAATCATGGGAAAACACAAATATCCGCCCTTGCAGGCAGATATTTATGGGATAGTTCTCAACAATACATCTCCCAGTGCATCAGTTTAGACACGAGATCAAGTCTAATCAGTAGTGCTTAGAAATTTAGGAAGATCATTGGAAACTTGAGCTAAGTGTGGCCTTAATGCTTCTCACTGAGATTTGGCTCTGAGTGTTCCTAAAGGCATGAAGGGTTAGTGAAAACAAAAAAGAGCTACAGTACTAAATGCAAGGCTTTATACAGGAGCTCTGTAATGGTTTCATCTTTTGTTTCAGGGTGAATACTTAAAAACATGCATCAGATGGTGGAAAAACTTCCTATGTCTTAGTGCTGTTGTAAGACATTTATGTAATCATGCAATTTAACTTTCAAGGTAATGGAATGGAAACCAGTCTTGTTATTCCCTAAATAGAAAACAGACGTTGAGATCCTTACTGTACATCTAACTGGTAATCTTTATTATTTATTGATTTTTGTCTATGTAATACGTGGTTTTGATAGGCCTGTAAAGAAAACAAATCTAGACAAATTTGCTGTATATAACAATATTCTTTACGCAGCACATTTCTGCTAAGGGAATATGCATGATTAAGGATGAGGACCTACTAGAGTAGACATTTTTAAGATGAACATTTCTATTATTTATTAGAATGAGAATTTCATTTCACTTTAAATATTCAGTCATATGGATTTGTCTCAAGAGCTGACTTGTCTTGAAGTACTTCTTATTTGATAAAAGAAACACTCTGGATTCTGAACATCTGTAAAAGCAGATACTCTGCATGCTATGGACAGCTCATGCATCCTGCAAGCATCCCTATAGATTTGTTAACAGCTAAACCGAATAACTGGAGAAAATACCTAGGGTTTTCATCCTGTCGTGATTGATTTTACTCTTGGTACAGCCTGGTGTAACATCACTCAAATGTTTTAAAAATGCAGGGATTGCACAAAGCTCCTGTAGTGCATTGCTGCCTCAGTTACTCCATGTTCTTCAGTGAAACAGTGTTATAAAATAGAGGAAAGTGGGAAAAACCTTGGGCACTGTCAAGTGCCTGATGTTGGCAAGGTGAGGGCACAGCTGGAGTGCCTCCTACATGCAATGGAGGAATGGCCTTCAGCCACATTCCTAGTCATGGTTTGTTTTAAAGAATTCTCTCTCTGTCTTCTTGCCCTGGGAAAGCAAGGCCCTGACAGATTGAGAATGAGTGGGCAGTCAAAGACAGAGTGGTGACATTGGTCAGATTGTCCCCAGGGGAATTTCACAGCCCATCTGTGGTCACCATGAGGCACTGGGACAATGAATCCTCCACGTGCACGGCCTTGGCCTTGGGTGGATTATTAGTTGTTTGTAAAAGGATGTTACAAAGCCATGGGGGGTTTTATTCCAGACCTATTCTATTGAAATGTGTTCTTACATTTACCAGGAGCCTTTACAAAGCACTTATGGTGAAGGAGGAGGAGGCTGAGCACAGCATGCAGACAGCAGCTGGGTGTGTCAGGGGATGCACAGGAGTACAGCTGAGTAACCAAGTCATAGCACACGAGTTCATTACCTGGCAAAATGTAACCTCTTCTGCTGACAGCTTACCTGCAATCAGTGTTTGATTTCCAGAAGTACTCCATCACTGTTCATACTCGTAAAAACCAGATTTGTTACAACAAATCTCTTTGCTAGTCCAAGTCAGATGTTTCATGGTGGCTGCTATCACAGCCATGGCTTCTGTTCCCCCGTAGGTAACTGCACAATCAATTCTTTAACAACTGCTTGGTTTGGTGAGTTTCCTCTTCATTTTCATAAACATGATTCTGAAATTTGCTTTCTGCAGATATCAGTGCCATCAAAAAGCAGTGTGTGGTTCTGAGCGGATATTGACCATTTGGGGGTGTAAACACAGAGCCTGATCTGAAATGAGTTAATTATTTGAGCTATCATTCCTGAGAATACTGTGACATTTTCCCAGTTCTACTTGTGCAGAAAGAATGAGTTTGAATGATTTGCAGACTATCTTGTACAGAATATCCTTTTTCATTGCTTAAAAATGTGAAACTTCCTCAGGAAGAAATTAAATAGATATTTCAATGTTTATAGATGTAATACTCTTGTCATTCACATTGAATGAAAATTGCTGGAAACATTTTTCTCAGAGTTTTTTAAAATAAAAAATAGATATTATTCTGATAGTGGCATGGTATTTGAAGTGCAACAATAAACTCTGATAAGAAAATGTAGTGCTGTGTGGCAGTGACTTTGATGTTCACAGAAGTTATCCTTTTCCAGGTTGGTTAGCAGCTATTGCAGCTTGATGCTGAGCTACAACACAATCCAGCAGCACAGGAGCAGCATGAAATGTTTTCAGAAATGAAAAATACTGCTTACTCTTGCTGTGAGTGAATATTGCTGCTTTACGCAGCTGCTTGTTTTACTGCTTTTGCTTCCTGCTTAGTTTTTATTTCTTGTGCCAGGACTTGCTAATGCAGTGGAGAAACATCTCCAGAGTTTGCTATTTTTAAGATAACAAGGAAAATTTATTCAAATCATTTGCCTTGGGGATTCAATAGTTGTGCCAATGCATCAGCCTACAAATGCAGGAGAAGAGCTTTCTTTGGAGAAACCTCTAAAGATGGTACGAATGTCCAAAGGAAAATTCACTGTTCCAAACAAACTCAGAACAGAATATAAAATTGTACTTACCAAGCTGGGCAAAGGCTGCTTAGGAGTGTGGGAGATAGGAGACCTACATTAACAAAATACTACATTTGTTACAGAGAAATGATGCAATGTTAAATTGAGAAGTCTAAGCATCTTATATATATAGTACCTATCTCTGTAATCTCTTAAAAAAACAATGAAGTAGTAACAGGTAGTAAGAAAAGGGGAAAGATCCTTACTACAAATAATAATAGCTTCTTGGCCTCTCTCTTTGATTTATCTACTTTCATATGATGTCTTTTCAGTTCTTCCAGTCCACAAGTTCCTAGAGCTCAAAGGCAAAAGGCACTTTTTTTTTGTCTCTCCGAGCGACATGGATGGAGAAAGCACAACAGTCAGCAAAGGGTAAATCCCAGGAGCAGGAAAGTGATCACAGCTGAAACCAAGGGCCAGGGAAACCTGAAACCTGAGTGGAGGAGGAATTCAGACAAAGTAAGGGTGATCATCTGAAAAGAATGTTGAGTTTGAGTCTTCCCTGGACTGAGGATGACCAATAGTTCAATAAGCTGCTGTGGTGTCAAAGTTAGAGTAATTAGGGGAGATTTAGACTCGGCTTTAGGAAGCATTTCTTCATGAGAAGGTGTTCAGAGGCTTGGACAGGCTAGAGAGGTGGTTGGTGCTCCAGCCTGTCAGTGTTTTAAATCTTTTGGAAAATGCCTTTAACAACAGGCTTTAACTTCTGGTCGGCCCTGAGGTGGTTGGGTATTTGGACTGATGATCCTTGTAGGTGCCTCCCAACGGAATATTCTGTTCTCTTTTAACTCCAAATTAAGGTGTGGACATTGAACCAGCATGTAGTTGTTTACATGGACTGGAAATGGAAAATAACCTGTGTTCACCTAGAGAGATTACTTCATTTTTCTAGCACATCTTTCACGAGCTCTGATTTTTATTTTAGTCCATGGTTTTCAAATAACGAGCAGTGTTATTGTAGCATTTAAGGCTCGTCTTATGACAGGACCAAGCATACACACACGTGTATCTACACAGATAAAGCAGCATGGCTGTCTCCGTCAGCTGACTCGTCTCTGCTTTGTTTCGGAGAGTGCCTTAACCCGTTTTCATCGGGGGGTTCTATTTGGTGTCTTGGGGAAGGAGCGGGAATCCAAAGCGGAAGAGGGATCCGTCCCCTGTTCTGTCCCCGCCTTCCCCGTGGGGCCGAGCCCAGTGCGGCTGCGCGCCGAGGCTCCGCCCCCAGCCCGGCTCCCGCCACTGCCCATTTCCCGCCGCTGGCGCGTGAGGGTTGGTCGCGTGGGGATGGGGCTCCGCGTGGGCGGGCGCGCGCAGCGGCCGTTGGCGCTGAGGGGGCGCGCGAGGTGGACGTTGGCGCTGAGGGGGCGCGCGGCGGGCGCGGGAAGCCGGGGGGAAGGGTGAGGGTGAAGGGGCGGCGGCGCTCGCGGATCGGGCGCGTTCTCCTGCACAGCGGCAGAGGAGCGGAGCGTAACAGACAGAAGGTAGGCCCCGTGAAGCGGTGGGCAGCGTGACGGGGAGGAGGATGGGAGCCGGGCGCAGGCCGCGTGGGGCTGGGGCCCACGAGGGAGGGAGAGAGGAAGGGAAAATGGCGGCCGCCACGTGGCGGCGGAGGGGGGCCGGGAAGCAGAGATCCATGACTCCATGGGAGCTGCCGCGTGTGGCTGACTCCCTTCCTAGGCATGGAAGAGCAGGGCCTTGCTAATTGGCAAAACTTTTACCCTCTTGTGGGTATGAGTCGTTGACTGTGGCAAGTAACAAACCGAATCTGCAGTGTGGTTAACCGTCTCCCCTGTTTTTTGGGTGGGTTTTTTTTTTTGTTGATTGGTTTTTCAGTTTTCTCCCTTTTTTTTCCCCGTCTATAAGTGATTGCAGCCCAGTTTTTAAACTTACTTATTCTTTTTTAATTTCACAGGAGCGCAGAAGCTGAAAGTGTGGAAACGTAGTTGTTGGAAGATCCTCTTCCCGAAAAGTATGTGTCTGGCTGTGCCTAATAAGCTCTTCAGAGGGTGGGTTTGGGGCAGGAATAATACCGATTTGATAATTTATATTTAGCGATTACTCTGCTGTGCCTTGTCCTTTGAAATCAAGGTATGGGCTTGGTGTTTTATTTTCAAGCATGCTTCATTTTTACGTGTTTTTGGAACAGAAGAGTATAATCAGATGCATTTAAGGTGATTAGGAGGAATTGGGTTTAGATGTAGAGACATTAGAAAACATAATCCACAATTCCTAGCATAAAAAACACATTGCCGGTCTTTGCTTGCCCAGCTAGAAGGATGTGAATGCACAGATTTCTCAGGGGTATCCTGTGCAAGGGGCGTGTCTTCTTCGAGAAGCATGTGAGTACTGAGAGAAATCTGCAGCTGCAGGAGCGACAGAGATTGGAAGTTTATACCAAAAGCTTTGTTTCAGAGCAGCTTTGCAACTCCTGGGAGAGCATCCTAATGTTTAACGATGATTGCCGTCTTGTTTGTGTTTCCAGTAGCAATATTAAACTGCCTCAAACTTGTTTTTACAGGGGAAAAACCCTCTTGAAAGAAGATGGGGCTAAATTCCACGTGTGAATTCTAGGAGTAGCTGGGACTAAATTTCTTAATTTCTGAGTAGGGTAGGGTGGGTGTGTTTAATTGAAATTTATGCCTTTTGGGAGCAGTAATATTTCTGGCTGTCAAGCAGAACTAACAAAACCTAATTTTAGGGTAGGTCTTAAACTCGATTTTTAAATCAAGATAAAATTTGGAGCTTTCATGCCTAATATTAGCCTTGATGCTTCTATACAGACAAATACAGTGAGGATCTCGTGATGTGCTGCTCCTCTCTTTGGGCTGTCACTAAGCATTCAGCAATTACAGAAGTGGTTTTGGTAGTTGAGTTGATGTACTGCCCCTTCGGGGATAGCTCCTCTCTAAGGTTGTTGCAATGAGTGTACGTGTGCTGCAAAGCTGCAGGTAAGTTTTGAAAGTCTGGAAAATGGATGTGGAAACTACAGCCGTAATTTTGGGATCTGTGTGAATGTAAAGCATTCGAATGTATGAATAAGTCAATAAAGAGACATGACTGGCTGCAAGTGTGGTTTCTTTCTTGAAAAACTGCTGGTAACTAAGACTAGACCTACACGTTTGTCAGGATGACTTACACATGCCAGATCTGCCCGTTGTGGGGACGGCTTTTGGGCAGAAGCTGTGGTTTCAGGTGGCTGATGCATTGTCTGGGAACCACTCCAGAAATGGTACGGCTTGAATCAGAGGTAAGTGTGCAGGGCAGAAATGGCAAAATAGTGTTGGTTGTTGCAGTTGCTGAGGGATCCATATTTAAGAAAAGTGATGGACATCTCGCAGATAGTGAATTGTTGCATACTTAAACAAGGTATTTTACTTAAAAGTACATTTACAATCTCAGTGAATACCAGCTGCGCTGGCACAATCTCTTGTGGAATATCTTTCAGATAATAAATTCTTTTTTCCAAATAGTTGGAAACTGAAAAGTTAGAGGGCAAGGGAGGGTTTGAAAGCATTGGGAAACAAAATCTGTGAAGCCAGAAGTGAGATGATTAGCACGTGGTGTGATTGCTGCTGAGTGTTTTGGCAGCTGAGGTCGGGATTCCTGCTTGAAGTGAATGGAGCAGAACTGCGGCCTAATTACAGCGTGGACTAGATCTGAGGAAATGACTTCCGGTGGTTGTGTTCGGCAGATTAGGGAGCTGGCATAGGGAACTTTAATTTTTTTTAAGCACACACTTCTGCCCAAGCGGAAGTAGAGTTGAATGTGTTTTCTTGTGTGGCACTGTACCAAGTGATAGCACACCTGTTCCACTCCTGGTGTGTGATTACTCTCCTCCTTTAACAGTGCTATCATATGGCTTACTGCTCTGCATTCCAAGGTGGTGGCTGCCAAGGCTGGTAGCCAACAATCAGGAGTGTGTACTGTGTTCCCTTTTCTCCAAAAACGTTGGACCTCTCTAGTAACCTCAGCACTTCTAGAAATTACCACATTTGTTCTACAAGGGCAGTTACTTGCCCATCTTAGATGGGCAAATGCCAGGCAGGCTGCAGACTGGCCCTTTCATTTTGGTAAGTTGTTTAGGGTTGAGATAGGATACACGTAAAGGAGGCTTTGTGTGTCAGTTGCAGTGATGTTTCTGTTCTATATATTCTCTGGCAAATAACCAAAAACTTGGGAAGTTCAGCAGAGCTGCATCTAACGGAATCTTCATGGTGCTGGGGCACCTAGAGAGAGGACATTTCTTTAGGGTGGCCATCTCGTCTGGTAACAAGTTGCAAGTGTTCTCATGGTTTGTTTCACCATTAACACAGTTATTAAACAGCCTTAAAGTGTGGGATGAACTTAAAATAACCTAACTGGTCAGAGTTATAGCACTGGGAATGAGACAAACCTCTCAGAGAAAAGAGCCCTAAGTTTATGTGCTTTGACGAAGATGCTTTCAAGGGCCCCCTTTCTCAGGTAAACCCAGTTGAGGTTTACCCAGCTGATGTATTAATTAACATACAGAAATTGTAGTCAGTGTGGCAGTTTTTATTGTATATATGTACACCATCAGGCTCACTCAACAAAAATGAGAAATGCATAAGGTGGATACAATTTCATTTTCTGTTAGAAACTGAAAAGCATGCTCAGCATGGAAACAGTAGTGGAACATTTTCAAATCTAACAAAGCTGTCTATTAAAAGAGCAAAAATAACAAAAGTACTGTACTAAATGTTTACTACACTTAGTATGCAGGCTTAGCTCCCCCTCCCCCTGAAGTATCCTGTTTCTGTGGTGCAACTATTAAAATTTCCCTTGTATACAACGCATGTATTGCACTATGTAGCCTACTTCACCACAAGTCTCAATGGGTCCTGTACAGCAAAGCTTGGGTGTTACGTGCAGATAGATTATGAGACTGACTTCCCCTGTAATTAAGGGCGATATGGAAGTAAAAACGTAATGGTTTCAAAGTTCACTAGCACGGTGTTTCACGTTGGTCTAACAGTAGGTGGTCACAGTACAGTGATTTATGGTGTTTTAAAGTATTTCACACTATTTCAAATAGTATGGAATTACAGAAAACTCTATCAAAGCACCTCATGTACTAGTTTAGCACCAGTTACAATAATTAGTCCTGACCCTTGAATACTTAAATTTGAGGTCAGAGATATTAAGGGCCAAATGTTCAATCTCTTGGGCTTCTGCACTGTCATTGCCACTTCGTATACAAGTGAGTTAACTTGGATATTTATTATAATACCAAAGAGACACACAACCATACAAAAACGAATGATTGCCCACTTAGAGCATGAATGCAAGCACCCCACATTTTCACAAAACACCACACAACACAGCCATAGCCACTTCGGGGAATAGGAAACGGAAACGCTCACTGGTAGTCACAGTTTGCACAATCACTATGTGGTGACACTCATCTGCCACACTTGTCACACTGGAGTGTTTCATGGCCCACAGCTTTCAGTTGTGTTTTTATGGGCATGGTTAGTAATGTGATAGGTACATCACACTTGGACTCAGCATGGCCTTTGACAGGGATTGTAGTGCTGAGCTGTCGTGGCTTGCTCTGTACTGAGTCACTTCCCAGGTGATTGCCAGAATGATGCCTTTCAGTGTTGCACTAGGGTGTGATTACCTCCTGTGTTCTAGGTTCGGTGTGGTGGTCCTTTCTCAAAGGACGTTAAGTTGCTTATCAGTGCATTTTTATAGTAAGTTGTTAGAGATTTCACAGCACGGGGAACAGTATTTGGAAAAGGAACTAAACAAAATCAAGATGTGTCAATGCTTTAGAAGTCACTGAAAACTAAGCTTCCCTGCGAGATCAGTCTGAACCAGTGTTGGAACTAAGCAGGAGAGAGTTGTCTAAATATTACTTTATAGAAAACATAGTTTAAGACTTTTTAGACCTTTTCAGGCAAATTTTGACTTAACAATTCTCTTTGTTGTATGTATAACTTCATCTGGTAGGATTGACCGAGGTTCTTTGCACTACTTGAGGAAAGCCCAGCAATGAAAGAATAGGGATGTTTGTTAGTCTGACACTGTACTGACAGCTAGTGGTAAATAGAAAAAGTGAATCTCTCCAAAATGCTATATATACTCAAAACTGCGAGTTTGAGAGATATGACACATGCTACTTACCACATGAAGTAAGTGGTTGCTCTTGCAGCTGTGCAGGACGTTTGTGGGGAAACTGTCAGTGTACTGCCTGTTTTACTTGGGAATATACTTAGCAACACTAACCTGTGAGGATATTTAGCAACTAGCTGGGGATGTGACCATTGACCATTATTTTCCTTCCTGCATTTAGTACAATACTCAGAATTACTTAGCAGCAATCAGGCTACTAATGGTCTCATAAGCTACTGAAACAGAAGTCACATTTAGGGGACTGAGTGTAAAATCATAGGAATAATAGACTAAATAAACTAGAGTGAAGATTAGTTGAGATCTGTAATTAATTGTAGAGAACCTTGGAGCATAAACAGCTCGGTCTTGTGGGCAGTGAGTCTCAGCGAAGTCTCTGGCTGTCCTGTTCCAGTATTACTGTAGCTGGCTATCACTTTTCCCTTTAGATACATGGTAATTTGTTCATGCAATATTTAGACTTCTGGAACAGGGAGGACAGTAATCCCTAACTGGAAGGGTTGTGTGTACACAGCTTGGATTTAATAAAAACAAAAACACGCGATTCAGGAAAATGTCTGTTTCCACCCACTGTGGGCCCCCACTGTGCACTGCATGCACTGTTCAACTTGTCCTGCCTCAAAGTTTGGTTTTCATTATGGACATTCATAGTTTGGTCACACTTTTAATCCAGGGTACGAAAGATGATACTTTTGTGTAGACACCTGGGGAATCTTTGACCCCACAGCCGTAGCCCCAGGAGGTCACACCGTACACGACCCAGCTTTCCCCTGGGCGCTCACACATCAGTGGTCCACCGCTGTCTCCTTGACAGCTGTCAACGCGTTTCTGTTCCTGCACGTTTCCAGCACACAGCATTCTTCCTGTGAATCTCCTTTGGTAGCGCTCTTCACACACCCTCTTGGGAAGTAAGGGGATGGCAGCCTGTTGTAATGTTCTTGAATAAGCCCTTCCTAAAAAGGAGATCCAAATTACTGTCTCGTTATAGTGATCAGTCTTGGAAACATAGATGTGATTTAATCCAATTTTTGGTCTCAGGTGTTCACACTGCTTTGTCATTACATTAAATTACTGAAAACAAGACTACTGAAAAAATCTCTGCATGAAGTATAATACTAAAATACTGTAGATATTGTAAATGTAAAATGTAGATTTTTTTAAAAAAAGTAGCTTTTCTGTGTGTATTCTCTCGATCTTTCCAAGGCTGGAGTTTGGTTTATTCTGAGCATTTTGTGTCTTCTACAGAAGAACATACACTTTATACCTCTGTGTGGAAGCAGTTTTTGGGAGTCTTGAGCAGCTGAGAGCAAAGCAGTAGAAATACGTGATTTCTGTGTCACCAGTTCAAATCTAGTGTAGCTCAGTCTGAACAGGTGCTGTGTCTTCCGGTGGCTTCCAAGTGGAGCATTCAAATAGATCTTTCTACTTGTTTTTCCATAGCTTGCACCTCTTACAGTTGGAAGCATGGGAAATAAAAGCCAGTGTTGGTTTTGCCTTTTTTAAAGTAAAAACTTGTGAAGTAATTATGATTCATATAGTAAGTGTGAAATGTCAGCTGAGGTACTGCAATGATGTCATTTCTTACCATAAATTGAAGCCAATTACTGCAGTGGTTAATGTTTCCTGAAATGAATGTCCTAAGTTAAGAGTATTTAAGGACTTTCAGTGAATTACGTAAAAAGACTAGACAGAGCTAGGCAATGAATTAACAATTGTTTTTTTTTAGCAAAAAGCCAACCCTACACGTCTCTCTTGTTTATTGTAGTACAGTGACCCTGACATCTGTGCACACAGATTAGTGCATGTAAAGGAGGAGGGGCAGGTACTTGGCCATGCCTTTCTTGTCTCCTTGCCAGTTTGAGTGAGTCACTGAACAAAGGCTCAAGTGTGGTTGCTTTCTTGCACTGCATTAAGCACCACAAAAACAAAAGTGAAACATGGTTATTAATTTGTGAAACATTTAAAGGACAAAGACCTTTGAAGAGGAAGAATCTTATACTGACTGAAAAAAAGCAAGTAGAGGCCTGAAGTGCAGATTGCATTGAGCTTCTTGTAAATTTTGGCAAGATGTTCTGTTATTTAAATCAAAGCCGGTTGAAAATGTCAGTGGTAACAAGGAACACTAAAATGTTATTTGAAATTTTATCATGTGCATATTTTCTGTCCATTTTTCTATTGAAGTATTTGTAATTTAAATAACCTTTCTAAAATTGAAATATTCATGGTCCTTTCCTTTGAAACCTTAAATGTGTTAGAGCTGTTGGTTTTGTATTGAGGCAGGGGATGATAAGTTGCTGTGCGGGGTGTGCCTGGCAACAAATAAGCTTTTTATTCCTGCTTGTCAGTCCTAATGAGGCCACTTTACTGACAGGTCTGTGATTTAGAGTGACATGGTTAATCACTGCTTTCCAAATACAAACTATATTCAGCAAACAAAATATTGTCACTCCTGATTAAGGATCAGGAGAGAAAATATTTCCCTATGTTAAAAAAGAGTAAAATGCTTCCATTTTAGCATTTTCTTATTTCAATTATTTGAGGGTGGTTTTTTTAAGCAGAGATAACCAGATGGTTCAGGGAAATGATTTTACCTGTGTCACCCCATCCAGTGATGAAACAGTTGGGAGCAGTTTTCTGTGGCCGCTCCCTCCTCAGTGGCAGGCAGGCAGGCAGGACGTGGGTGCTGAACCTTGCGCACTGTTCCTCGGGCCCGTGCAGCCTCACCAAGGCGATGTCGTAGTCGCTGCTGTCAGGCCTGTACTCCTTGTGCACCACAATCTCCTGCACTGCGATTTCCTCCTCGTACTCCTCCAGCACCAGCGTGTGGTAGTCTCCAACCCGCACGACGTAGTTGCGAGTGTTGTTGCCGTACCTGAGATGGAGGGGAAAACAAATAGGGCTGGCTCAGGCACAGTCACATCCTGAGCGTGCAAACAGGGTTCATTGCTTCCTTTATTGTTCACATAACTAATGTTACTAAAAGGTTCTTTTAAAATAACAAAAACTTTCTCAAATGTCCTAAAGATTATAAAAGCCTTCTTCTTAGGTTTCAGGTTATACCGTGTCCTTTTTGACCATTTTCACAGGCAGTTTTCTTATGGCCATTTGCCATGACTGGCACTTCAAATGTACAAGGTATGCATTATGCATTTATTTAGTAAGGGTAACACAAACTGCCAGTAATTGCAATGACAGCCTGAGTACTGACATCATTGTGATGCTCCAAATAATTACTGGAATGACAACAGTGTTCAGGCCTGCTTTGTAGGTTGACTGAGGAACTTTAGATGCCTAGGTAACTTAATTAAAACTTCTTACATCAACTGAAGTTACAGTAAGGATGACAAAGCATTTGTGCATCACAAGCACCTATTGTCACATTGACAGGACGCCTGTAAATCTTAGGCTTGTTTTGCATGTGATATAATCCCAGTTTCCTTCACATCGTGGATTAAATGGTAAATACGTTAGAGATGACTACTGTGGCTGAAATAATGGTCTTTCTGTGCATGCCTTTAAAGATTTTTGTATTACAGGACACACAGCCCTTCCCAGGCAAAATGCAAACGAGAGTACTGTTGGGTATGTGTATTTATTTTAAAATATGGCTAAGCTAACAGAAATATTTTTCCTTTTATTTCTCCCTTTCCTTAATAGCCTTCAATAGGAAATTTCTAACATGTTTGCAGAAAATGCTACCCACAGTGTCCCATCACCTTCTAACTTATGCCTGTTCTTTTTCTACCATCCAGCAATGTTCTGGTCTCCATAGCTTGCTAAAGCCTGCTTGAGGAGCAGCAGACAAAGCAGGAGCATTACAGTTTTCTGCACAATATATAGCTGTACCACTGAATATTTCTTCTAGTTGTGAATTGGATTCCTGATTGCCTGTAAAGCTTTCTAGTTCTAATCCTTCGGGTCTTCCATGAGCAAAATTTCATTTCTAGGCTTTATGGAGAGAGAGCTGCAGGCTGTAAACAAACACTCCTTCATCCAAAGATGATGTTCTGTATAGGATACATGATGGGGTTTTTCCTATGCCTCATGTTTCTAATTATCCAGTTGTTTTCTTCAAAACTATAGATCTTCCAATTTCCTTAAAGCTGTCAGAATAACTCAAGACAAGGGTGGGTTATAAAATAAAAAATAAAAAGCTTCAAGCATTTTATCTTGAATTATGTATCTGCTAAAGTATAGAAACCAGTAATTCTACTGTAGGACTGCTGAACAATTCTAATCATCATGCATAAAATTATGCTCAATTTTTATCCCTAGTACAGATGAGCCCACTTTGGTTACTTAAGCAGTGTTCCAATTTCCAGGATATGAGAAATGGTATACTGGCCTTTCTCTTGTCCATCTGCGGAAAATATGTGAAGAAGGCACTTGATCTATAGATAGCTCTTGGAAACCTATCCCTGAAAATCACTCTGAGATCATTTGGAAGTTCAGCCCTGTCCAAAGCCAGCTCAGAGCTAAAGGCTTCCCTCATTTACAGTGAACAGCAATGCATCCACAGGCTGTTGGAGCTGCATGCTTTGGTCTAATTGCAGTTTAAATGTCACTTCTGGGACAGAACAATACTTTGTTCCCTGACACCATGGGTAACAGTTTCTGTGACTGCACCAATCTGGAAGTACCACAGTGTACTTTGCTCCAGCCATGCTGCTGCCCCATCCTGTGGGTGCTTAGCAGAGTATCCAAAATTGACACTCTTTGGCACCACATTCAGTTTTCAAGCCTGCAATCAAAGGCTTTCTCAAGACCCTCAGGAAGCATCCTTGGTAATCACTACAGAGATAATGAACAGGGAAATAGGAAGCCGTTGTCTATGAATTTGATGAAAGCAACTAAAGAGCTTCCATAGTTCTGCAGAAACACCTGGGATGTCAAGTTGAAATAGCAGGAAATTTTACTATGACTATTTCAGCTTGAAATATTACCAAGGAAAGTCCTTTGTGATTTCAGGAAATGAAAAGATGTACATCTGGTGCTCAGCAAAGGTAATACACTCTGCATTTGAGTAAAAGTGTCTCTGGCTCTTACTTTAATTACTAGCATGCAAAAGGTTCAAAATCAAAATTTGAAACATTTGCAGCTCACTTGAGCAAATTCCAGCAAATAGCCTCAGAATTGTAGTGCTCCTCTATGCTTTTTTTCCCAGCCCATTCCAATAAAATAATCACTAATCACAAGATTAGCTTCTTTATTGTGCAAGTTGATGCATTTATACTTCAGTAACCTCATCAGCAGTGAAGTCCTGCATTTAGTCACTGCTGTGATACAGTAAAAATGTCTGTCACTGCTAAGATCTGTTGTTACCAAATTTTATCTGAAATATTACAGTCCCTGTGTTTGATGTGTGCTCAGTTGTCTTGACTATAACCTGAGAGCCATAAGCTGTGTTTTTGTTGGAGCAGAAAGTTAAAATGTCAGAAGTGTTGTCTATATTTTTTCATGAATATGCTGAAGTTGTGAATATAAATCACAAGAATGATAACACCTAAATAGTTTCAATGCATCAGGGTGTTTTGTTTGTTTGAGGGAAAGGAGGTAGAGTGTAGGGTTTTTTAAAGCCGAAGGACAACTCTTGGAACAGTTTTCCATGGGCTTGAACTGTAATGGTTTTGCATATGCCCAGAACAACGGAACAGTGTCAAACACGGTGCATTATTGAAGAGAGACCCACCTTTTAAAGCAGTGTGCAGCAGTGAGGACCCAGCAGCTGCTGATGAGAGTAGCACCACACAGGAGTCTCCCGTCGCCGTGAGAGGATTTCAGGCGCAGTGCCACCTGCCACGGCCAGCCGCCCCTGCAGGAGTGACACACGGTGCTCAGGGTGCAGCAGTGGGGAACTCAGGTAGCTGCCCTGGGACCTGCCATGTGCGTCCTGTTGGCTTTATTTGACTGACACAGCTTACTTTAAAAACGGTGGTGAATATTTTATATCCTGGCAATATTCAGAATTCCATTTAACAAGGGTCTGCATTACTTTACAGAGAATTTAGGCATCCAGCACTCTTAAGTGCTTCCTCCCACAGCCAGCTATTTGAATTTTCTCTTCTCAGATTGCATTCATTGGGCCAAAAATACATTCTGTGTGTTCCTTGCCAAATACTGTCCAAGTCAACAAACCAGAAATTTCCTGTCAACTGGAGAGGGGAAAGGGGAATTTCTTGAAAAGCTGAACCCAGCATCCATCCCTTCGTGAGAAAGGAAGCTGGCAAAACGAGATTTCAAGCAACTGTAGAAGTCTCAAGTATAGAGGAGCACCTTTTTCAGCCTGCGATTATCTGTTTTTATAGTAGATCTGGCCATATTTGCATACCTCTGAATACAGGATGGATTCTTTTTTGCTGGTTTAATAGATTAGGAGTCAGAGAAGGGAAAGGGAGAGAGATGCACCTGTAAATAACAGCAGCATCTAATAGTAAGCAACTGAGTGTTTTCTGAGTACTGTCAAACTTGAATGGGTGTGCTGGACAACAAGAGCCTCCAGGGTTCATCTAGTCCAGCATTTCAGAGTTACTGGTGTCAAATGTTTTAAAGTAAGGTGGAGGAATTTACTTCCCAGAAAGAATAAAACAATTTATTGTTTTACAACAACTGGTACATATGTAAGTATCCAGTTCTTTTCAGACTTCCTCAAGGTCTTTGTCTTAATGACTTCTTGTGACATTGAGTTCTTTTCTGATACGTACATTTGCTCCCTTTCTTGATTTTGAAGCATTTCTGCATGCACTGTTGGTTTTTTCTCACCTTTTTGCTTCATCTGACTTCCCTGTACTGATTTATGATGAGATCAGCTTCCTTGCTCTGACTGAATTGTGCAATACATTATTGCAATACATTATTTGTCACCATTGCATTCAGCAAATGTCCTTGGAACACATATTCTGAGACAATAATTGTCTCTTCATGTGCAATGCATTATCTGTTATCTCATTTGTCTCTTTACTAAGGTAAGTCATCCCACTTTATCTGGTTGTGTTAAAATACTTTTCTGGGCTCCCTCTTTTTACTGTTCTTTGAAGCTCCCCCACTTGGGCAGTGTCTGAAATGGATTGATCAGTGCTGTGCATGTACTTTGAAATAGGTTGCACAGTGATATGTAACGATGCTGTTAGTGTATTTTTTACAATGTCTTTTGTAAGATTGTGTGAATATATGTTTTTTGTGTTTAGTAACAGCTGTTGAAAAAGTAAAGTCAGTGCCTCCCCATTTTTTAGCTGTGTCATCATCAAGGCTTATTTTGTGAAGGGAAATAAGGTCTTAGGCAGTGAATCATACCCAGGCCTTTTTTTTTTTTTGTGTAGGTGGCATTTAAAACTTTGTACTACATTCATAGCTCTGTTTTTATAGCTCACATCCTGATATCAGGATATCCTCTGATAAAAGTAAAATAGCTATTTTGTAAGTTAAAAATTAAACCCATTCAAGGACCTTATCCACAAGCATCTACAGATTTTCAACTAATGCTGCAAGTACTTACAATTAATACTTTTTAATTTCCTGCCAAATTTGCTTTGGGTATATTTCTACTACTACATCATGACAAGTCAAAAGACAAACAAACAACAAGGTCACAATAAAACAGTAAATTTGGCAAACCACTTATGGCAAATACGTGTTTTAGAAGCTTTATATTCAAAATTATTTGTCTTTACCAGTTATTTACCGTAAAGAATTTTTCCCACCAATTATTCGCTTTTGTCGACGATGGAGTAACCTCAGCCCACAAACAGAAGCAAGAGAATCTAAACCAGAAAGGGAGATGTAGAGAGCATTAAACTCAACGTGAGAAGTAGCCAATATTCAATGAGAGTTAACTTGAAAAAAGTCTAAAAGTTCAAGTTATTCTGTGTTTCATGGTAGTTTTTAACAGGCAAATTTTGATTGGGGAAAATAGACTTAGAAATTCTTATAGCTGAAATCTTTTGACTGGGGAAATGAATTCTTTTTCGACTTAGAAATCCTTCGTAGCTGAGTTCTTTTGACTGTGGTCAGAGTAATTTACACATTTGCTTCTCACATGTAGGATTTTATAGGGCTCTTCCTTACTTCCTGCAAGTGGAAGCAGACCATGCCAACCACACAGGTCCCATTCCTTATCTGAGGATAACCTATACCTTGGAAAGCTGAAAGGAGCTGTTTAAATTTTTGCATCGTGTCCCTTAATGAACGTGGCTGCTGTGAACCGTGGTGACAGATACCCTGTACCCTGAGTAATCCTGGTGCTTGTGCAGCTGCAAAGAATAAGCTCACACGGTGTAAGCAGAGAGGATTCCCACTCCTGTTCTAGAATTGGTTTTGATAAAACTCTTTTTCCTCCATGAGGTGGAATTGTTAAGTCTCTCTCTTCCCACCATGACAGTGGCCACGTGGAGCTGTTGGTCTGCCCCTCACAACAGGGCCTCACCTTTATTGCTGTTCCCAGGGACTTTCTTGCTGAGGTGGTCACAGATGACCCCCGCGTCCTCGCTGTGCCGGCAGTTGTGCGTCCCAATGTCCTGCTTAATGCAGTCTGCCAAGGATCTCTCATGTCCTGTACACTTCACATTATCCACGTGTATCGGGCCTTTGCCCTCACCAAAATAGGCCATTGTCCTTGCTCTAGCTGGACCCCTGCAAACAGACCGTATTTTATTATTATTCAACATCTTGAGGCGTTATTCTACATTTTACTCAAGTTTCCAAGTGAGTAATGAAAGACATCGAAGTTTCTTTCCAAACTCTGTCACTGTTTCACTTGATAACAACCACCATCTCACCATCTCTCTCTTTTGCATTCTGGTATGCAGAAAAAAATAAAATGTGCCAAGATTGCTACATTTCATTAATATTAAAAACTGCTTCTGTGTATCTGGTTAGAAGGCAATGTGCAAAGTATTTTACATTGTATCAATGTTACATTTTGCCATAAAACAAAATATGTGAAAGCTGCTTTTTCATAATCTCTTTAATCCTCATATAGAGTCAGCATCTGTGAAAGCTAAAAATAATTTTTTCAGGTCTGATTCCCTCAGAAGGATGGACCAGTTAAATACAACATACTTGGGGTGCAGTAGGAGCTATGATGTACAGACCTATCCGTTGTTAGTAGTTATTAAAATATTTTATTATCATGTCATTTTTTATGGGGCATCCCATATTCTGAGGTCTGAAAATGCCATGTGACTGGAGACCAGTTCAGTGCCTGCACCCCCCCTGTTCTTGGGAGGAACCCAGTACCTGGTGCTTGTATAGCATTTAAGCATCTCATTTGGCAACTCCTGTGAGAGATTATTACTGTTAATTAGTTAAGGTAATCTTCTTAATTTATAAATAGATGTTTAGATGTTTTGTTGTGTATGGTTTAAGAGTCAGAAAGAACTATGAGTGAGAGACCACCCAACTGGCTGTACAGAGAAGTGGGGCCAGAAGCCACAGACACCTCTAAGTGTGCCTGAACTACAAGTTTACCTATTGGTTAAGAGCAGTCTACTGGAATTTTACTATGGTAAGAAAATATGGAATTCCAGATAACTAAAATACAGGTTTCCATTTGAAAGGACATTTTATAATTGTGTATTGTAAAGTACTGCTTCTATGCGTGCAGAACTGTGACTGCAGATGTGAAAATGCTGGAGCAGAGAAAGAGAATTTGATTGAAAATGCATTAGGCAAGAAAGTATTTCTCTTCCTTTTTGTACCTCTTTAATACCTGCAGTGTTGGGGAAGGTAGGTGAGAATGGCATGAAGACTTTACATCCCTTCTTGGGCTGGATTTGGTCTATTGGGGAGGAATGCTGATTTGCCAAACCATTTTCAAAGCTTTGTCACAGCAGAAGTGTGGCTGGCTCAAACTGAACTAGCTCTCAGTTGCCATATCCATATAACTGAAACCTGAAAGTAACACAAGAGCTTCCTCCCTTCTGAAACTTGCACGTGGATAGCGTTGCCTGTGTGGATTTTTTTACCAGGTATTGAAGGGTAGGTGGGAAGGACTTCCAAGTAGAGAACATTGGTTAGAATGCTAGGAAAAAGAAGCTAGGAAAGAGAAGTTCATGAAACAATTAGTGAGAGATGATACCACAAGGTCGACTGTCCTTGCACGTTTTCCATTTCCATGGTTAGGAGCTATTTGCCAGGAAATCCAAAGCCTTAACTGCCTTTAGAACCAGTACAGGAGAATCTCTGCCTAATGAGTTTACTACGATTTGACTTGTCAGTCCCAAATAGTGTGACTCTTGCTCCAAATGTTGTTCTTTTGTGAGGGATACTCTGGTTACAGATAACCACAAAAAAAATAAGTCCAACTCTCTGATACCCGTGGGTAGCTCATGTATTCATGTTTGCTGTTACAACACAGTGACACAGTACAGGCATTGTAAATTCTTACCTGATTTTGGTATCTGTCAAATAACAACGTTTCTGCTTTAGGGCATTGTTCTAAAGTTCCTCAGGATATTGAAAACTACTTTGTTGAGAATCACCACAGTATTCTTATCCTTCCCCAGAGAAGTATTTATTGCAGTTTAGTACAGAATTGTCTCTCCAGAATCTTATCAGTTCCTTAGTACGGGCACTACCTCCTTTTCCTACATTTGCATGAAGGCAATCTACCTCTTACTGTGCATCAGTAATCTCTCTGTTTGCTGATAATGGGGATGAAAGCTGTTCAGACCCAACCAACCAACAGCACCACAGAAACCCCCAACCAACCCCCACTGAAGAACATCTGTCAGGAAATGTAAAAAAAACCACGGTGTCCTTGGGCAAGGAGTGCAGTTTAATAGAGAAAATTATTTCATGTAATTGGGAGATCTCTGAAGGTACAAATGTTACATCTATGTGTTTGTTACATGCTGGAATGTGCTCTTAAAACTGGCTTTAGTGCACCCCTAAAAAACACGTCCCTTAATTGCTGCTTTTCAAGCCAGATATTTATGCACTGATGACCCTCAGAGAAACAAGGTTTTTGCCTGCTCACATTTGTCCCTGGAGAGAAATGGCTTCAGGTCTTTTCCTCTCAGTTCTGTCACACCAAGGACCGTGCACAATAACAATGCTGAGCTTTTCAGGTGCAGTATTATCATTATTCATGATATTGTTAATGAGGAAATCCAGTGGATTAGGATAGATGGACACCTATACTAGAATTTAAAAGTTAGGTAACTTGTAAGAGTGGTATCTTGACTTGTAAGTCAAGTTTTGCCATTTTGAAGCCATAGTGTAGTACTACTTTTAAACAAGCTTTTACTAAATTAATACCAGGCAGTTTTTAAAAGACACATATTGTGTCCTGAGACATAATGTGATGCTCTTTGGTTGGACAAACTTCACACTGTGAGATACAACAAACAGTTAATGTGATTTATATTTCTTCAGCTCGAATTTCTTTATAGATACATTTGGAGAAGACATTTCACTAATTTCCTGTTGTATTTCACTAGTGTTCTGGATATTTTTCAAGTCTTATTAGTACTACTATTTATATATCTGCCCTATAGTTGTTATATTTTTGCTGCTCTTGGGTATCCAGAAGAAAAATGCTAATGAGTGATGTAAGCCTGATTAAGTGATTTCTTTCAAATGTGATACATATATTGCAGTGGTTTTAATTAGAGGGTAGGTTTGTTATCCCAGGTCTATTCCTGTATTAAATGAAGCTTATTCAAATTACTGTCATGCAGACTGCAGCCATAATCCCTTGTGTAACAGTTTCATCAGATCTTCAAGCTACATTGAATCTAGCCAGATCAGTAATTGAAGGTAAAAACTCCATTAAATTAGGAATTCAGTAGCTGGTGTGCCTGCATCTCCATCTGCAGTCATCATATCCACACCTTGTGACAGTGGACACTGACCTGTTTTTGAAACTAATATGACAACTACAATTTTGTATGTCATTAATAGATTAATCACTTGGAATGCTTAACTTCTAACGAAAAATATTTAATAACTCGCATTAACTTGCATTTCTGTTGCCAGTTAAACTGACACACTTTTGAATACTAACATTCTCATTCCAGTTATGCTACTTCAAGAATATTCCTTTTGAAGACATAGCTTTGCTACTTTTCATACAAGTAGCAGTAATACATTTTTCTAAAAGAATGCCAAACTGACAAGTTTTAAAAGACATACATTATCTTATTAGACATGTTTGTGGTATTTGGTTGCAGAAACATAAGATTTTTAGATCCAGAAAACATAACTTGAGAAACAGCTTAATGAGTTTTCTTACTTGTAGCCAAGCTGTCGGCAGACTACAGCTGCATCCTTATCAGACCATCCATCATCACAAATTGTGCCCCACTGGCCATTGATAAAAATCTCCACACGTCCTTCCTTCTTATTCTCACCATCCATCAGTCTGATGGGAGGACCTGGGAATAAATTACTGCTGTCAGCTCACAGCAACAGAAGCAAGAGCTGCTACTTTCAGCTATTTTCATTATATTCAGTACAACCAGTATTTACGTTCAATATCAGTGGTTAAAGTAGTCATATTGTTCCTGGCTGGCAAAAGGAAGCAGTTTCTACAGATTACAAGACAAATACTAAATACTGCTGTGCTTTACTCTTCAGAGTTCAGCTGATGCCTTCATGCCATGCAAATATGTGACAGTTCAGAAACTGACCACAATTCTGTACAAAAAGGTAGAAAACACCTGTGATACCTTTGATACAACACCCATACAACCTGGACAGGTTTTCCTTACAGAAACTTTATGGTTTTACTTTAAGAAACTTTAAGAATTTAAGTCAGTCCATATACATGCCAATCCATCAACCCATTCTCCAATGGTTGCTGCTGCTCCTCCTAACCACTGTCTCAGCAAAAATAGTGCAGCACTGTGTTGAACTTCAGCTGTTCCTTGTCACTATGCACATTGTTCTGCAGCATGTTATTCCAGATTATTTTTCAAGCAATTTAAATTGATTGTTTATTCAGATACATTCATAATACGAAATTTCCCTTATGTAGATTAGTCAGACTTAGTTGATCGTGGTTTCTGCAATGCTTGGCCTGTAGTTAAGTTTTGACTCAGTAGGCAAAATACATACTTTATTCTTTCTTACTCTAAAATTCCTCTATAACCTGCAAGCAATGCAAATACCCTGAAAACAGTTACGAATTCCTCTGTGGCCTGTTTATAATGTTCAAGGGAGAATCACCTTCTAAATCTTTTTGTATGGCATACTTTATAATCTTTAATATACTCATGAGAGTTGCTTTCTAGAATAATGGGAAAGACTCTTCCTCATTCTTCTGACTTATTCCTCATCTTTTCTAAATATGTGAGGATGAGGAATTACTTAATTGCTCTCTTAAAGCAGTATTTTGAGATATCTGCATTTGATATTTAATTCCGATTAGTTTAGGGTATGAATAACCTTTGTACACCAAATACTGATCTGGTCAGTGCTAGTTAAATCTGGCCTAAGTCAAAATGAATAGGGAAATATTTGAAGGTAACATCCAAGTCTGTTTGTTTCTGATGTAATTTAAAGCCTGTTGTTTGTGTTGGAGTTCATACTGTTTGGACAATTGCATGAATTAATTTCACCAACATTCTATTTACCTACACTTTCATGATCTTACTAATGATCATGAACTAATGTCATTATTGTAGTGTATCCTATCTCCTTTTTAGTGATCCTTAATATCTGTTTCCTTGAGTCTATCATCTACTAATTTCTCCTTTTTTTTTTTCCCACTGAATTTAACCTTATGGGAAAAAAATGCTTTTTCAAATGCTGATAATTAAATGATAACAACACTTTGTCCACTTTCCAATCAGAAATCTTCTAGGAAATTTCAGATAAACTGTCTTATTTTCTTGTTGAACTGATATGTTCTGGAAGAATACAACTTAGGTGAGATTTATACTTCTATTAACCAGATAGAGGCCTGGAATACTAATAATACTTTATTGTTATCTCATCTTCTTGTGGTTTAGAAAGCATATATATATATATATCTTTATGAGCACAAAATTAATATTCCGTTCTGGTAGGGGGGATGTGAGAATGTTACCATATGGATGTATTTAACTGAACCAGACTCCTTCAGCAGAGATATTTTATAGGAATTTGAGAAAAGCAGCACAGATGGTTTGCATCTGTAAAGACAGCAGTCATGGTTTGAATTCCTGTTATTCTTGGTTTGAGAAAATTCTTTCTAACAAATAGGATTTGATATATGTACTGCAACATAAAACATTCATTGGATGGTGAGAGGACTATATGGAATAAGCCTGTAAAGAGGGAGAGACTCAAAAAGTACATGTGGAAGTGCTGAATGTTGTTATAACAAGAAGCAACATGGTGCAGTAAATCCATGTTGTAGTTTATGGGATAAACCTTCAGTCTGTGATCTCTAGGAAACAGGCATATAATACCAATTTCAAGTTCAACTGAAATATTCTTGGCTAAGCTAAATGGCCTTGGCAGCAATTTTCTAGAAGGCTACATACTGACAAGCTACACACATCATGTAGCACATTGTAAAAATGAAACTTTTTCAGAATTGCTGTGCAACCCATTGTTCCACTGTAGTTTCTACTGTGCATATCTCATAGCCAGAATTATGGTTTAATTATCTTCATTTGGATTTAGGAATCTTTGGAATTTATTTGTTTATATTTGGTTCAACAATTTCACTGTGTAACTGGTATTTTTCTATCATTTTTATCAGTCTTTTTATTCTCTTTATTTTCATACAAGTTTGTAGGCTTTTCACACTGGAACTGACTCTCTTATCTGGGTGTGGAGTATCATTCTGTCATGGGCCCATGCACCCAGACACAATATAAATGCTAGGCAATAGTAACACAGAAATAATTTCATGCTTCTCACCCTTCCTTCTTGCTATCTCTGAACTTCCCATATCCCTTCTTCATATCCCTTGTTTTGGATTGTCTGAATGCAAAGCCATAGGAGGATGTACTATTGATTTGTATTCCTCAGTGCTCAGTCTGTCTCCAGCCTTTGATACCAAGCACTACTTGGAGGTTGAGAAGTAAAATCAGGTACAGCATCAGGGAGTGCTGAATAGGTCCGAAACCTGGGGGAGACTGAGGGAATGGCATCTCTGGAATGTGACTTTGTTACCTTGCAAATCTGGGTTGAACTTTAATGTTCTGGATGCCAACGTTCTAAGCAAAACTTGATTACTTGCTGTGATCTTCAGGAGAAAAGTAAGGTTTTTTCCCTTCCTGTTCTTTCTTTGCACCCATCTGACAAATAGTAGGATTTTGAGAATCCTCAAGTATCCTGTACTTTGATTGGATCTGTATCCATAGCAGTACTCATACTGTGACTTTAGCAAAGAGCTTCCTTACCAAGTGAGCGCCTGTAGCTGTCGTTTTCTGGGTGGCAGATGAGTGTGACATCCTCCTCATGGCTGCAGTCGTGCTTGCCCCACTCCCTCCGGGAGCACTGCAGAAGGTTTGTCTCCTTCCCGGAGCAGATCACGTCATCCAGCCAGATGGGCCCGGAGCTGCCCTCTGAGTAGCTCTCTTTTTCCATACCTGCACTTTTCCCATACCTGCACAACACACAGGTATGTTTTGGTCCACAGTGATCAGAGGACACATGATGCTTAAGCATGAGAAAGGAAAGGGACATTCCTGAGGAAATAGAGGCTTCTCACTAAGCAGGTTCAGTTAGCATTAAATTCAATGGGAGCACCATATGCTGCCTCTTCAGTAATTTTTTTTTTTTTAAGGAATTACTGCTACATTAATACAAACTTAAGAATGTAATACCTTTGATTAAGGCTGCTCTTCAACGAAGCATATGGCTGGCTCTATGACTCTGAGGCTTTAAGCATTTTCTTAGTATTCTACATACATTTAAATGTCACAATCTGAGACAAAATCCTTTTTTGAATGTCAGCTGTTACAGTTTGAAGGCAAGACAACAGTCACCTACTGAGAGTGTATCTTTGTAGCCACAGGTCAGTAGGAAGAGTAGGGAAGAGTGAACGCATGAAACGAATGGGATTTTTCTAAAATGCTTTTCAATACGTAAGTGTTCCAGGGCCAGGCTGTGGGGTTTTCTGAGGTAGTGCAGAAGGACTTACACCTCGAAAATGTCTGTCATTAATAATGACTGTACAACAAGCAAAGATTTAGAAGAATCAAAAAAGAGAATTGGAAGGAAGTCAGCGAATAAAGGCTGCTAAATCACATTTGTTGAAGGTTCTTCTACCTAAACTAAGGCCTAAATACTTCTGTGTGACTGAGGGAAGCAGGTTTTAATGTATTTTAACTTGGTAGTTTCTTTGAAGCACTCAGCTAATATTAAAAAGCAGATTCTTAAAATAGGGTCTGTAGGGTTCATGTAATTGTTTTGTCATCCTGGTCAAGTCACAGAGTCAGATATCCAATATCAAGCAATCTTACTTAAATCCCAGCTGCCAGCAAACCACCTGCGTGTTCAGCTCCGTCCAGCCATCGTCACAGACCGTGCCCCACTGCCCTGTGTGATAGACCTGCAGGCGGCCCTCGTGACTGCCCTTCCCACCTGCGAGCCGCAGTGCACCATCTGTGCCGGTAACAAGGGAAAACAAACACAAGGGTCAGCGTTCCTTAGAGCTCATTCTTCTTCTCAAGCAGAATCAGTAACATTGCCTTTACTGCAACTGATCCAGCTTTTGTGCCTCTGCAAACTTTAAAAGTTCTCTTTCCAGAGCTCTGTGTGAACTCTGCCTTTGTCCTGTTTTTTCCTGTGTGGTGATGACTGAAGTACCTGTGAGAGGTGTGCAGGAAACTCCAGCGTCTTCTTTGTGGCCACAGTTGTGTTGTCGCCAGGAGCTTTTTGGGCACTGTTCTATGGAGAGTTCATTTCCCGTGCACTGCACCTCATCCAGCAGCACGGGGCCAGAGCCTTCTCCAAAGTAAGCCTGGCTCCACGCCTTGGCAACACCCCTGTGGAAATGCAAGGAACACCCAGTCAGGAGGAAGCAAGCTGGAGATTTTCCTTTGCTGTGTCTTTGAGTTTTAACTTTCCTAGGAGAGATTACAGATGGACAGCTTGGGTATGAGGATTCTAATCCAATATACATTTCTAAAGTGACTTTCACCTGTTGTCCTCAAAGCACATTAATCAAAAACTCAGTTGAGGCAGGTAAATGTGATTGTTCCCCATTTAGTCGTGTGAAAATCACAGCGAAGAGATCTTAAGTGACTTGACAAATGTCATATCATCCATCAGCAATAGGAATAAGAATAGGAAGTAGAGCAATGACTAGCTTTGTATGGGGTATATTCTCTGTCAGCAGAAAGGACTTTGAGCACAGAAAGGTATGCTGATGGAAAACACTCCATTGTTTTAGAATTACAGAAATTATGTGGTGTTTAATCCTTTATCATCTATCAGGATTTTTCCAATTCTATTTAGAATACCGTGTCTTTCATATATAAATATTTGCCATGGTTTGGTTTCTCTCCACTCAATGTTTTCTCTGTTCCTATATTCACTCTAGTTTCAAATGACAAGATTGAAATGTCTAAATTTTGGACTGTAAAGATTTACCTAAAGAAAGCATTAGTTTAAATTACCTAAAAAAGCATCTTGTTTTTCCAGTGTATCTGATAAAAATGCTGGCAGAAATGTATAGAAAATATTAAGGAAAATATCCTTATTGATTAAGCAGCTGGCTGAAATCAAAGAGATAGTGATGGACTGCTCTGAATGCTTTTACAATTTATACCAGTAATATACAACATATTCCAGCAAGAGTCTCTGGAGTTAGGCAGAGACAACACATCCCATCATTATAACCAGGGGAATCTGTCAAGCAAAAATTATTTAGGAAACCAAATAATAAAAGAAGTTGTTGTTATTTTCCACCTATTAATGGTAGATTCATATTCTGGAGTTTTATAGGAGTGCTACAGAAAAGTTGAAGGGGAGTGGGAAGCTACTTATTGAGAAGCTTTACTTTTGCAGTTTCTGGCATGTTTCCAGGTGGATTAACAGTATGCAAAGTTAAATTATTTTTAGTACTTCAGAACTGGTCTACTGCCACTGTTGGTAAGATTTCATTTCATATTAATTAGCATGTTTGCTGTAACATCTTGCTTACTTGAGAAGTTCTGTAAATTCTCCAGACATATTTCAAAAAGACTTAGCAGGTTTAGTACCATCTTAATACAATTTATTTACTCAGAAAAACGAATCAAATGAGAAGCATCACAGAACTGCAGTTTCGATGATTAAATATAAGTAATAAAAGTTTTAATGTCATCAGTAAAGAGGCAGGCTAAGAGCATTAAACTTGTCATTAGTATACAGAAATGCAAAGCAGAGCTTCCAAACCTATTAACAGCAGCCCAGTTTAAAAGCAGGAAAAGCCTGCAAGAAGATAGACTTCCCATTAGGTATTCCCAATTGAAAATGTGCAGGAATATAGAAATGCAACATAAAACAAGCTGGGGAAAAGAAAGTCTGATGTCACAGAAGCATGTTAGCTCCTATGTTGGCTCAGCAGGAGATGTACAATATTTTTAATTAGTCCACAGTTGTCATCCTTCTGAGCTAATTTGGGTGGCATGGGCAGCCCCAGGCCTCTGTTACAAAACAAGTTCACTCTGGGGACCGCCCATTAATGCCACAGAACCTTCTACCTTCAACCATTTCTTTCAGTTCATCCTAGTCCCAGCAGGCTTGAACAGGTGAGTTCTGTTCCAGTCTCCTCTGCATTTACCTGCTTAGTTCTCATCCAGTCTGTCTCAGACATAATCCCCTTCTCCTGCATGGGATACAGCCCAGCATCTTCTCTGCTCTTGCTCCTAGTTCTTTCCCTCTTCAACCCCACTGGCCTTCATCCCAATTGTCCTCCTCTCCTTTCTCTCTGGTCCAGCAGTTTTACTCTTAGTCTCCCACCTCTGCAACATTTTTCTGCAAATACCAATACTTATCTTCTGTGGGGTATCAAAATCCCCCCTGGCTGTTAAGAAAGTGAAGCAGGAAAATCTTGTTCTGCTGCTGTAGCTGTATTGCAGACCATGCTTGGTTCAGACAGAATCACTGACAAGCTTAACCATCAAAAGTTCAAACAGATCTCTAGCTCAGTATATGCAAACTGACAAGTCTTCAGAGACTCGTGATTTAAACAGATCTAGAGAGATTCTCACAGGCATGCCAAAAAACATATCCTTCCTGACAAGGCAGAGTTCTTGTGCCAAAGCCAGGAGGCTGTCAGGCTCCACAGCAAAATGGATTGTAAGGATTTGAACAGTCAAAAATTTCTTCACATACAGGTTTTGATGAAAACTTTACAGGAATTGTAGTGAGTTTTCACTGCAAAGACAACATTTCTTCTGAGACATTCTTTATCCGTCCAGTCAAGCAGACAAAATTGGCCCTATCATATGACACTGAAAACTGGTTCCAGGAAACTGAAAGTAATGTCACTGTACCTGAATCTTCTATAAACAGACTTAGTTACTGCTCCATAGTGTCAGTAAGATTTTAAAGGAGCATTTTTTTTACAATTACGCTTCTCGTAGCTTCAGCTGTGAGTCTGATAACTCTCCTGCTTTGCTGCTGGAATAAAAAACATGTACAAAACAAACCCGAGGCCAAGCTGCCGACAGACAACTTCAGCATCTGCATCATCCCACTGGTCATCACAGATTGTGCCCCACTGGCCACCATGGTACACTTCCACTCGTCCTTCGTGGGCACTGCTCCCACCAGCCAGCCGGATCGGAGTGAAGGCAGGGCCTGGCAACAAACACAGGATATAGAACAGGTCATTCACATCCTGAAAGATCATTCTGATTGGAAACAAAGAGGAAGATGCCTTAATGGTTTCTCTGATATCTCTCAAGAACCATATTTTCTTTTTTCTACTTAGATGGAAAGTCAAGTGAGTTCCCTTATGCTCCACTCTCACTAGCTGAAAAATCTTACACATACAAGTAACCGTATTGATCTTGAATTTCCTAAGTGTCAGAGCATTCACAAGCACTTAGTGCTGTAAGGCCAAACACTGAATCAGTCAGCAGAGCTACCTTTCTACAAGTAAGAGCAAAATCAAGTAAAATCTGAAGTAAGAGACAAAAATTATGTCATAGAAAGAGAAATAGAAATTCCTCCTTGGGTTTTCTCATTCCATTAGAAAATACAGTCAGAGCAGTGAAATCTCTTTGACTGTGGAATCTCACTTGAATTGTGCAAGTATTGTTCCCTTCTTGCTTCCAGTCTTTTAAAATCAGTGTCTCTCTTCTGGTGTACCAAGAAACTCTTGAAAGCATCACTGCTGAATAAATCTATAATAATGGAAACAGTTTAAAGACATATAAAACCCCATAATTGCTGTCATGTGAACAAGGTTATTTTAAAGTTTCACCATATCTAACGTCTGAATGATTTAAATTTGAGTAATTTTTGTCTGACTTTCCAACCAGTTAATGTTACTATTTGATATAATTCTTGATTATAAAAAAAACCGAAAACAACAATACTGAGGGAATTTCTCCAATTTCATATTAGTGTATCACTGATATGAAATATAGGGGGGATGTGTGTGTGCAAATATTTTAAAAGGCTAGTTGCAACAGAACCAGTAAAATGTAAAAACATGTACAGTTTTCAGCTTCTTTATGCAAAACTCTCTTGCTTTTGTTCTTTAATTTGTCTCCTAGCTTGAAAGGATTCTTTCTTCCCCGTACTAAATAGTTTTCTAAGACTAAAACGTTCTTTTAAAAGCCATTTATCAAAATATTGCTCATTATTAATAAAGCTTTAGGACAAAAAAGCACCCACCTTCTTTGGATAAAAACACAAGTAGGAGAAGAAGTGCAGCACAGAAGTGGCTGCAGCCACACCTTTTGGTTTCAGCTGAATAGATCAGCCCCCCAGCACTGCCAGCCCAGCCCTCCTCAAGGCAACCCTTTCTTAAATCTGATGGCATGCCTGCCCACTTAGTTAGCATGTTGATTAAAATTATATCAAATACCTTAAAAACATGAATTATACTTGTTTTCCTAATAATACAATTTTGACAAAAAAAAAAAGAAGTGGGGAAACAATCCTTATTTTACAGCCAGAGATGCTTGCTACTTTACTCTTTCTCACAACCTACATCTGAAAGAAACAATTTGTTGTTGATTATGGAAAGGTAAAAAATTGTTAAGCTAGGTGCTGCTTGAGGTATTTGAAGCAGCTAATGATGCAATGATTCAATCTGTATAATCTGTTCCAAGAAATCTTAACACTTTTTCTAATCTAATAACTAGTAGTTATTACAGCTTCTGCTTAAATAAAATAAGGGCTTGAGAAAACCATATGCTTTTTTTTACCCAGGGAGGAGCTACATGTGACAGCAGCTGCCATTTTTTGAGGACATGTCCCATCTTGCCAGGTGTCTTTTTCACATAACAGTATATTTTCTTCATCACCACGACAACGCACTTCACTCCAGAAAACAGGAATAAGGCCTAATCCAGAAAAGGGTAAGTGTTTTGCTGTACCTTTTTCCCTGTGAAAATAATCAGGATAGGGTATCAGAGTGGGAGGAAGGGAAGTGGAAACATTTTCTCACATGTAAGTCTAGGAGTAGAAAAGAAAGGGCTTTCTTTAGTAGTGTAAATTCATCACATTTTCATACAGTTCAGCATTGTCTTCTGCACAAAGAAAAGTAACAGATGTGACCCAGTTCTCACCATTTTGTTGTGGGATATTTTAGTACAATGACTGTGTTGCTGCAAAGCCAGCTACATTCCTGCTCTCCCAGTTGTTAACTACAAAAATTAACAGAGCCCACAGTCCATAGGTGAATCTACAGGACCAGCCCACTGCAGTCACAGTTCCAGGAAGGGTAATGCCACCAGGTCTTTCTGCCTTATTCTGTCCTTTACTCCACAAAGACACACCATGCTCTGCCCATAAATGCCAGGTATTGTGGCTGTGATGATGGGGCAGTGCAACCACCTCACGCTGCACTAGGTCAGGCCCTCATCCATTTTTCTCTATTCAGCCATTCCCATCCACCCAGAACAGTTTATAAACAGCTCTCTTTCCTTCTTATGCTGAATCTACAGCAGCACCTGTAGAGCCATCTTCTCTTCCTTGCGAAGCACAAAGAATTTAAAACAAAGCCCAAGTATGGTGATAGCCGAGGAACAGATAGATGGAGCACCTGAAAAGCACCAGTAATGCCTCATGAGTTCACCTGGTGGTACAGAGATCCAAATTTCTGCCAAACATTCGAGCTAGCTCAGACTTTCAGCTACTCTTTGCTTGGGGCTTTTTTGGCCTGGGTTCAGCTTTGAGCCATTTCTGTTGAAAAGATGAAACCATTCACTCGTAACACTGAACTACTGCTAACAGCAGCCTCCTTCAGCTGAAATGTTCAGGGTATGGAAAGCAAATAGGACTGACCTGACTGAGGGAAGGAGCCACTGCACGTAGACAGCTGAAGTCATAAGCAAAATCACAGCCTCCAGATGGCTGAACTTTTATCTCATCTAATCCTCATATTTTTTTAAGTTGGCATGGTGTGTCCAGATTAGCACTGAACATTATAAACCAGCTTAGATTTAGTTCTGGCTAGCAGTCTTAAAAAGTGGGATAATCATTAGGAATGTCACAGTGCAAGTCTGCTATAAAAGCCCTCTACTGCTTGTAGCAAGCAAAACCACTGCTTTGGTATGTGAGTGAAAGAAATGTTAAAAAGGCAATAAAGGCAGCCAAATTATGCTAAAGGGTGCTGTTGATTAACTCCATTCTGGCAGCAGTGGGAAGTGGTGCTCAGCAAGGATAGTGCAGGGACTTTCAACCTGTCCAGTATGGCTATGGCTCTAAAACATTGCTATTTGCCAAAAACACAGGACGAGTTCCAGGTGTCATTTGGCCTACTACAGTGGGTGATTACTAGGATAACTCCGTGCCCCTGAGAATTAGGAATTTGCCTGTGATTAGGAGCCCATGTAGAGTCTAATCCTGGCCACATTTACATTATTATAGGTTCAATAACCTTGACACTTAGATATGTGAGATCAGGATCGGACCACAAAATTCTGTCCTTGTGGATATCTCCCAAATGTCCAGTAGAGCAGTTTGTTTGCCCAAAGCTTGTTGACTTGTTCACACGTTTCACTTTGAAACCAATGTATTTGCCATGGTCTGCTCCTGTCCAGATCCTATCTTCAGCTTTCTGAGGAAATACTGATTTCCTCTTTGAAATGTAATGTGGCTGAAGTAAGTAGAGTATTCTAGGAAGAACAACTTCAGCATTCAAACACTTTCAAACAGAAAAAGCCATCATCAAACACAAAAAGCCCTCAGCATCTACAAAGTAGATTGCCCTTTATACTGAAGCCTCATGTAAATGAGTTGACTGATTTTTACTCCAGCTGAAACTTACCCAAGTGCAAGCTGCCGACATACAACCGTGGCGTCATTATTATCCCAATGGCTCCCGCAGATTGTTCCCCAGAATCCATTCACATAAACCTCCACTCTGCCTTCAAACTCATTCTTGCCTCCCCGGAGTCTCACTGAACCTGGTTACCAAAAATTAAAAATAAAACAATTACACCTCCAAGATACTCTATTGCTCTGTTAATGCATCCCACACAAAAGACTCTGAACCTCACTTTCCCTGAATTCTTGTTTCATTGATACTGAGCTGTTCCCAATTAAACATTCTGGCACACCTAACATTCTCGTACAGTGACACACAATTTGAGAGAACCCTATTTTTACACAAGGAAAGCATTTTGCTCCTCATACTGAAACTGCATCATATTTCTGAGCCTTCTGATGCTACAACTTAGCTAAAGATCAAACAAAAAGAAATTATTTATAGACACATAATAATTGAAATGTGATTTCCTCTACCCAAATGAGAAAAACTTATCTATGTATGTGTATATATATATATGGATATATATTGTGCGTGTGTGTATATATTTGTATAAAATATGCTATACTTTCATCTTTCACAAAATTCCACTGACCTTAAGGGAATCAGAAAATAACCACAGGGACTGCTTAACTTTTGCTCTGATCCACGTTACATTATGCATGTCATAGATGACAGCAGTTTATTTTAGCCAAAGAATGCATTTGTCCATACTTTTCTCAGACAGAAAAACACTGTATGTAATTCTGTTAATTCATGAGAGGTCTTTACCAAATTCTCAGACAAGGCAAGCTAAAACCCATAAGGAATTGTCTAAAAGAAGTGGGGAGGGAAAAAAAGTGCTTCTTGAGAGCTACAGAGCACAGAAATCCAAGAAAATTAGCAGATTTTGCATTTCTTAAACACTATTGCAGCAGTTTGCATCTTGAGATGTCAGATGCATCTACTGTTGAAGGTAGCCAAGTGCCACTTGCAAAGGTGGGAAACAGCTGGTTATAGGGATAACTACACAGAAACAGGAAAGAATCATGACAGAGCAGTAATTCAACAAGAAACATTTCTGTTAAAATCATCAAACGTAGCCCAGCTGTATGAATTCATACTGCCTGAAATCCCAGTTAATCCATCTGCCTCTGTTCTGTGATCTGCTTAGAAGCTACCCCATCATCCAGTTTGCAGGAGTTTAGCAAGGGGTGAAGATAGTCAGTGTTTGTGCCTGCATTTCATTGTGTCTGTGTTCATCTTTGTGTAAATAATAATAATAATAATAGGTAGATCCACTTTTCCTTCTCAGCTTGTCATAGGTTTAGTTCAGTGTATTTTATAAACCCACAAAGCCAAACAACTGCCAAATAACTCGAGGAATTAATTAACCTCATGTTTGGCTTGGCGTGTTCCTTTTTGTCTCCTATTTACTTTCTCAGCAGTAACTTACTGTGCAGCAAATTACTAACAACATTTATTCAACTCATGTTACAGAGTGAGCTATCACTCCTGAGAGAGGATTATTACTGAGTCAAATATAACTATATTGTAGACATGTTGCACATCATTTATCTGTCTTTACAGTTTTTCTCTTTGTGTTTTTCTGTATGTGTCACAGACAGTCTGGAATTCTGTTTATTTCTGCTCTTCACCAGACTTTTGTATAGACTATTATTTTCACTTGAAACGTCAACTGCACTCATAGCAATGTGATGTCTGACATACCAGAAAGCAAGTTTGAAGATGTCATCTCCAAAAATAAGTTTATTTTAGTGCATGATTGCTTACAGTGCTGCATGACACCTACTGAAATCAATACAGTGCTTCCTGAGTACACATTACACAATGTTTCTATTCAAATATTTGAATAAGGGAGTACTTGAAGATAAAATTCCCTTCTAAGGTCTCGATGGCAGAATTTGGCTTACTCCTCTATGTGTATTTCCAGATTTACAGATTTCTCAATGACAGTGGTGGAAGAATTTAGTTATGTACACACAGCAAAACACACAAGAGGATTTTTAAAGGTTATTTTGTAACCAATTTTAAATATTCTTGATTTTCACCTGATAAATTAATCTAAAAATAAATTAAAAGAAAGCCTATTTTTATATGTAGGTAATATAACACCTGCCATTTAATAGAGGTAACCAAATATATGGTATATGCACTTTGAAGTATGTGTCAACCTCTGTCATATGACCAAGTCATAATTATGCAGCAAACAAATCAAAGGGCACTAATGAGAAAATTATTTCTCTGTTGTTTACTCCAAATACTGTGGTATTCAGACACCTGGTAGTTATATTCCCAGATCAAGAGATAGATTAGTTAACAGTAGTGATACTTCATAAAACAGAACCTCAACATCAAGACTTTCATTACAGTAGCTTAGGTTTTCTTTTCAGTATATAAAACTCTTTCTTCATGATGAAACCCAGCTCTGTGTTTCCTGTGTAAATTGATCCTAGGGAATTGCAGGATAACAGCATGATCTGCCATCGTGTGTGTTTATGCTGCATTACCAACTATCTGTTTCTGTGTTAATATTTTAAATGCAAGATAGTGTTTGCCTTGTAAAATTACCAGGAAACACTTTTTCACTTCATAGGCAGCAAAAAACCCAATATTTAGCATGATTGAAAGGATACAGGTTAATTCTCATTTTCACTGGTTAAGTCTACCGCTGTTGCAATGTAACACCTCAAGCACCCCAATATGTGTCTCAGGGGCCTCCTCTGTGCTGCCCCTGGAGCACAACAGCTCTGCAGAAGAGGATCTGCATTCCCCCTCAGAAAACATGTCTGGCTTAAGTATATGGGCTGGAGGCTCTAGGTTTCTGGAGTCAGAGGTATAGTAGCATCTCAAGTTTTTAAACTACAATTTTTCAGCTCTTTTAGTTGCTGAAGAAAACTAAACCTGTTGGGAGTAGAGCTACCACAGTAGCATCTAGTCTTTCTGCTCTCCACCAGTACAATAAGGTGTCAGACCTCTGCTTAAAGTGCTTTTCAAACCTACCCTGCCTCAACACACAGCTTAACAACAGGGAACAGCAGCAGCAGGAGCCTGCCATGGCTCTGCCCTCCTCAGCACTGCTCAGGAAGAGGGACGATGAGGAGAGGTGACCTGACCCCACAATAGTTAGAAACAAGGGTGCAGAGCACAAAGCAGGCCTATGAGACAGCTCTAAACACAAACTGTGGTCCTAGGACAGACTTAATGCAGCCCTTCATAAAAAATACAATCTGCTGTCTTAACAGAAACTCCTTCATTTATAAACACTCAGAAAGTATGTGTGCATTTACTGTAATTGTGTTCTAGCTGAGGTTACTGACTGTCAATTCCTGTTGTTTACATACAGTCTGGTAATTTTAGTTGTCCTGGTATCTGCCCAAGTCAGAGTCTTTCCTATCTGCTATCACTGTTGAAAGGAGATTAAGTTATACTTGCAAATGCAAGGAAGTAAGGGTATCCAGTGGGTGCTGCTGAGACTTGCTCCAGAACACCTGCCATATAGGCTGGAGATGAGACACTCAGGAAAACAGGGAGAGGAAAACCACCCAGCCAACTTTTAATTAACTCCAAAAAGCAGAAGAGCTTCAAAGGAATTGTGCTGTTGTGCTTGGCCTCTTTTCCTTTACATTCTCATGTGCTGAGATGCTGGATAACTTCAAATCCTGTTTTATTTGTTACATTTCACTGGGAACGAGCATAGTGTGGCTGAGTTGCAAACAGAATGGAAATCACTTCTGCTGTATGTGTTAGTGCTGCAGCAGTGGCGTTTATGGTGTTGGCTAAAGGTGTGCCATAGTTCCTTGGGAAACACCTGTCCAAAGGTTTGCAATTTGGCTGTAAATGTAGGCCAGGAAAATAGGAATCAGAAGTAGAAATTGCCTGTGCCTTTCACCCTGGTGCAGTGTGCTCTGAAATGGCAGACTTAAAGCAAAGCAAGAGAAGTAATTTCAATTTTGGAAATCTATAAGAATAACAAGTATTTTTACTTCTGCCCCAATGTCCAAGGTGTTCCAACGTGGGACTGTGCTACAGAAAGGCCCTGCACTGACAATTCATCTCTGTTGTCTTGGAGTCAATTAGGTCAGTCCAAATTGACATCAAGTGTGAGGATTTCCCATTGATACATGCTCTATATCCCATGGGACCACACTGTAACCTGTAGTATTTACAATACACGGGGATGATCCATAATCCATATAGAAGGGTCTATCCCAGTTTCAGAATGAAACTAATTCACTGGTTTATATGAGTTATTTGCAAAAAGCTACATGTAACACAGGTACAACCTAACATTGGCTCAAATCAGTGGAAATTTCCCTTCCAGGATCAGGCCTGACTGAAATCAAAGAAATGAATCCTGCTGTTTCCAGCAAAATTATGCATGGTGCTCACTGTGATCAATGAATGCTGTTGTCTATCACTTTGCTGAGCACTGCTCTTAGTCTAAAATTACAATTATTTTCCCCATGCATTTTAACCTTGAAAAAAAGGTGCCTCCAGCACAACTACTTTTTTAGAAGGTGGAGCAGTAGCAGTATTGCATACTCAAGGATGCTTATATTAGAACTTTCATAAATATTGTATACACTGAGTGTGTAATGTGCTGCATTGGTTCCTCTGCAGCACTGAGATCCATCATGTCAGCAGTCAATGGTTTAAGGCTCTGAGAAACTCCACTCAAAGTGAGCAATGTAATGGGCTCTGATGGACTGCTCTTGTCTTACGAGGGCTCTCACATTGTGCAGCTCTGGTAAGAATGGTTCCAGAGGAGCTGTTTCTTAGGAAAATATAGGCATGCATGTTTCAGTTCTAATCATAAGGTATTAAAAAACAAAAATCCCAAAAGTCATTCCATTAACTGCTTGGACTATAGTAAAACTGGTAGGGAGAATAACCAAGTGTTTACATTATGAGCCTGAGGCTTGATTCTTCTCTCACAACAGTTTAGTGAAACTTTATTTGACTGACATTAGTGGAATCACGTTTTGATAAGAGCAGTTTTAATGGAAAGGTTCTAAAGTTAGGTGTTCCTGGAGATGTGTACTTTATTTCCAGTTCTGCCATTGACCTCTGACAAAGACATTTACCCTCTTTTGTATTGGCCCCTCTTTGTAATAGAAAAGAAAATAATTAGCCCACTTGATGCAAAGTGCTTTTTAGATGTGTAACAACATAGCATGAACCACATATACAAAACTGGAACTGTGTGCCACACAAACACTGTGTGGCAGCAGCTGCTCCCAGGTACTGAGCTAGGCCTTGTTCTTGGAGCCTGAGTACACCACAGGTAAGTTGTTATTAGCAGCAACGAAAATACTCAGTTCTGGTCAGTATAATACTTATACTGGCTCTTTGTAAAGAGTATGCTTTTATTCTTTTATTGTCCTCTCTGATGTCCTTAGCTAATCATGATAATTTATATGTATTTGGTTTACTTGCTTTCAAGGCATGAATAAGTAATGTTAGCTAGATATTTTTAGAAGGAAGGAAATGAAACACCAAAACCTATTATTTTAAACTGTAAAACTGATTTTAGTCTTGTACTGTACCATATCATTGCAAAGGTATTTTAAAAATTTTTTTTCATTCTTACTGTTTAAATATAAAACAGTTTAATATATACACATGCACAAAGTTTAGCCAATTAACTTTGCAGATAAGTCATGATATTTAAGCAGAAAAACTCAGAGATTTATAGGTAAGCCTTTTAATATGGCATTGTATTTAGTTATGGCAGATGCTTAACACTGACTATGGGCTTCCTTAGGCCAGGTACTAAAGGAAAAGGTGCAGTGAGTTTCTCTCTCAGCAGTCTGTCCCTCTCTAGCCATAACCACATTGTGACATTGCCTCACTGGCATTTTGCTTTTGTAAGAAAGGAACATACTTCAGGGGGAATGTTACAATAATCTTTCATTTCTGGGCAAATGGCCTGATTTGTGTCCATGTTCCACCTTCAGCCATCTCACAAACTCTCTAATTCTTTCATATTGCCTTCATAGAGGCTTTTGGACAGACATTGGCCCTGGTGATGCCACTGGAGTTTACCACCAAGTCCAACAGGAGCAGCTGGTCTGTCCATTACAAAGTATTGGCTATTGTTCAGTAGCTGTGTCTTCACTCTTAGCAGGGGCAAACCTGGATTTCCTTTTTCTGGGGGAACAAAGCAGAATTCTGAAAAGACTGGAGAAACACAGCTAAACCCAAATCATGCAGTATTTTTTGGTGGTTTTTTGCTTAAATCCCCTTCATGCTGAACTTAGAGGATTTTGAAACTTATTTTACTAAGTGCGAGATTGGGTTCTTAGCAATGAACTGCTGTGCTCTTCATTATTATATGAGACCAAGACCTCATAAAGTATTTTGGGAACTAGACTGAAGAATTCTAAAAAAAACCTATTCATATGTTGGACTAAATTAGAGAAGCAACTGTGGTACCCTTTCTGAAAGTGAGACCAATTAAAGGGCATGAAGTCTTCTGGGGTTTGTTTCATCTCTGTCTAGGTATGTTTTGTCCTCCATGCCATCAGCTGCCTGGTATTCTTTTCAGAGAAACATCTGTACTGCATAAGATCATTCTGTCTTCTTGAAGGAATACATTTGACTAGGAACACAGCTTTGGAAGCTGCATTTGTTTAATGTGTAAATGATCAATAGGGACCTTGGTGCCTCCATATCCTCTTCATGTGGTATTTTACACCAATACGTATAATTATCATGTTGTTCAAATTAGCTTTTTTTTCACACACCTTCTATGGCTACTGTTGGAAGAGAAGGATAATAATCCTCTTCAGTCATCTGAAAGTAAATTAATTTTTAAAAAACCCTCGCAACCTAACAAACAAAATAGTAGTAATAATGATCGGTTTGCTTGCTGACTTTGTGCTATTACAAAAGATCTAAAAGGAAGGACAATGAAGCAGGGAATTTTAATTTTCATTTCAACAATTATGCTTGATGATGTTTAGTATAGCTAGAGATAGGACACCGTTCTTATTTAGGCAGGAGATAATACCAGAGCAATGCAGGAGAAAATATTAAGTAATTCAAAACCAGACTGTACATCAATATATTTAATGCCAACACTGATGAAATGTAAAGCTGATCAAGAGCTGGATGCTGAAATTACTGTTCAGTTCTTACCCACTGAAAACTTCCACTGAAGTCAGTGGAGTTCAGCTGGGAGTGTGTGAGGGGAGCACAAGTCTCTGGGCTCAGCTCACGGATGTTGTTGAGCACCAGCACTAACTTGTGAACCCCATTATCCTAAGAGGTGGGGGAAAAAGAAAGTCATACTGTGTAAAGTTTGACTTTGGAGCCAGGCATCCTTCTATTTCTCTCTCTGCCACTTCACTTAGTCTGTAGAGACTAAGTGCTTCCCGGGAAAGTGAACCCGGTTACAAAAAAGGGATACCAGCCAGCCTTTGCAAACTGAGCCTCCTGAATGCTTACGGCACAGCTTTGAAACGCTCTTCACCTACCCAGTATTAGAATAGCGGCGGAATAAATCCAGCCAGGACCTTCGTCTTTCCGCTGCATCCTCAGATGCACGAGTTAAACTCTCCTCTGAGAACAGCTTTGGCTGTCACTTCGGCAGACGGTGTCCGTCCCCTCGTTCCCCGTTCCCTCCAGCGACAGGGAACCGGGTACGGGATGGGAGAACGCCGCCGCCCGGCCAAGGCTCTCTCCGTGTCCGTCTCTCCCCGCGTCCCGCAGCCCCGCGCTCTCTCCCGCTCCGCCGCCGCTCCCCGCTCGCCCCCTCCCCGCTTACCTCGCTCGCAGTCATTGCGGCCGCGCTCCGCGCCGGGGTCGCAGCCGGGCCGGGCTCCACCGCCGGGCAGGGCGCAGGAGCTTCGGCGTCCCCGCGGAGCCCGGCCCGCCGACCCCCGCCGCGGCAGAGGGGGCGCCGCCGGTGCCCAGGGGCGCTGGGCCGCGGGGAAGCCCCCGGCGGGGCAGCCGGCCGGGTGCTGTGGGGGACGGGCGGCCGGGAGGCTGGCGGAGACCTGCCCTGGCCCCCGGGCTCCGGGGATCGCCCCTATCACCAGCGCCACCACGAAGCCGGCGAATGTCATGGTGCCAGTCCCGCCGGCTCGGGTCCATCTCCCCCTCTCATCGCGCCCGGGATGCGAGGGGGGAAGGCGGGGCCGCGGCGTCCCGCTAATCCCCCTCGCCGCACACCCCTGCCGCCCGCCCCCGGCTGCCCGGCCCGCGGGGGCAGGGCGTGCGGGGCGCCGAGAGGCGCAGCCCCGGCGCTGCCGGCTCCCTACCTGCCGCAGCCTGCCCAGCGCGGCGGGGAGCGCAGCGGAGCGGCCGCCCGGCCGCGGGCACGGCCCCTCGGGCAGCCCCGGCGGGGTTTACAGGGGGATGCGTCCCCTGAGCCCGGCCCCAGGGCTCTCCCGCTCCCCCGCCAGCCTCGGGGCTGCCACCCCTGTACCATCCCTCCCCTTCGCCGGCGGCCCCACCGCAGCTCCGCAGGCTCACCCCACCCCTTGCACTGGGGCTCCCCTAGCAGCCACCTTCTCTGCCCTCTCCCCGTGCTCACAAAGAGCAGAAGGGGTCGGGACAGAGCCTGGCCTAGGGCGCGCAGCTTCGGGGCGAGAGGGACAAAACGAGCCCTCAAGGCCGTCTGGGGCGGCACAGGGATGGAGAGATCCTCAGACGTGTTAGCGGGGAACAAAGGGGCTGCAAACAAACGCCGTGAAATGTCTTCGAGGGTTTAGCATTATCCCAGTCCCATGTGCTCTGAATAGTAATCTGCTTATTTCCAAGCGCTGCATGACCTGATCATCTCTGAGTTCCCACCGGGATGGCTGTCAGCTATTTCTGCTTCTTTGTCTCATATTGTTCAGTTGTAAGTTTGGGTTAGTTACTATATTCTACTTTACTGCTGGTTTTAATCTATGCCGTTCATTCTTGAGGTCCAATCCTGCCTCTTGGAGCACGTACCCTTTGTTTGGCAATTTGTCTGTAATGTGAGTCTGTTGATTTACCTCTCCATAAGATCTTTTTTCCTCTCTAATTTTTTTTGTCTGGAAAGTGTTAATCTGGTTCCTGAGTGAGCACATCAGTACTTCCACTGTCTTTAGACAGAAGTCTAAAAGAAAGAGGGTGCTTTCTGCTTTCCATGCAGAATGCCACATATATCCAATATAGCATATAACAGTGCCCTTCCTTTAGCAGCCTCCAAACTGTTCAAAAGGTGCAAAATGCAACTTTACCAGTTTAAACTTCTGTTTAGAAGAACAAAAGAGCTTCTATGCTAAGGAAACCAGGTACCATCATGTTTGGGATTGCCTGTGTTCATCTTAGTTCTGCTCATCTGTGGTTAATTCTTTATTGCAGCATTACAGTTTGTATTTTAATCACTCACAGAGTTAAAGCATACTCTGCTGGGGTTTCTACAGCAACGTGATAACTATGCTATCACAGTGTCTGTCGCACTTCTTTGTGGACAGAAATGCACAGATTGTTCTTTCTTGCTGAGATTTCTTCTGGGGATATGGATATGCATTATTTTAAAAAGCATCAGGACTGGCAAGAATTTAATTTGTTTTCAAAGTATTTGATTATATACAAGACATTAACCTGAAAGCAACTCATTATGGTTGTTTTTAAATTGTCTGAAATTCTGTTTCTGTCGTGACAAGTTGCTTGCTTTTATCCTTTGAGAAGGACCAGTTAAAAGCATGCTCAGCCTAGCTGGTTAAGGTTTCCTTCATTGCCTAGTAAACACTTTTTGGCATCAAGTAACAACAATATTTCGTTTTCCCCTGACCTAAGCTCTTTTTCCAACCCTCTGTAGCCTGGAAGACAAAAGGTTCTCCTGATCAGCAGAAGGGGAAGAGAACAAATGAGTATGATGAGTCTTGCAAAGTGCTTCAGGCAAAGCTCTGAGCCTGGCACTTATTCATGTATTCTGATTGCACTCGCCTCCCCAAGGTGTGTGTGCTGTGCAGTGAGCCTCCTTTACCTGTTTGGGTAGAGGTATTTGTGCTTGAGCTTGCAAAAGTGGTACTGAGCAGGAGGGGGGGAAAAAGAGGGCAGGCTACTCAGGGGAAAAGGTTTGGAAGTAACTACAATTCCAAAAAAGCATCAAGAAGAAAAAAAAGCAGCGTCATAATGATTCACTCCCAATACAGGGTTCAAGTGTAATGGAGGGATTCATATGTACAGATTGACTCTTGAACACTTTAATTTTTATCATGATTGTTCTTTTTGATGTGGTTTTATAAGGAGAATGAGCCTTCATTTGTTTTGGTAACTATAAATGAGCCTTCCCTATGATATGAAGTCTGTTAATGCTACAGGAAATAATGCTTTTGTTACAATTTACAAATTAGGGACTCAGTTTGATGTCCATTCCAGACATTGATAGTAAACTCACTGTGAAGAGGAGGGGCACTCTTTGAAGGAGTCCTGGAGCTGATGGAGGGTTTTTTGCAGGCTGTGTGCTTTGCACTTTGCTTGCAGCTTCTGTCTTTGCTTGAGCATTTCTGAGTGCCTCCCCCATATGGTTTCTCTGGTGTCTGAACAGTGTGAGCACATGCAAGTTTGTCCTGCGGCTCTGGCACTTACAGGTGCCATGCAGAGAATCACTCTGATCTGCTTTTATCACACTTGTAGGAAGCTCATTATCTCTGTGACTTCTGCCTCTGTCACAGGTAGTCACAATCACTCCAAAGTTACTGGAAAGAGCAAAGACAAAGCAAGAGTTACATTTATAGACTGTGGTTTTGAGAACCTTGATTCTTTGACTTCAAATGGACTCTCACATTTAAAATAACAGTAAAAAACTGCACTGTGCTTTGAGGGTGGACTTTACCCACACATATTTAGAAACAAGAAATTGAGGATTATTACTCTGATATAGCCTTAGAAAGACGCCAAATATGAAATGCTCTTAATGCATTTGGCTGCCTTAAAAAGTGTTCTCTCTGCTGTACAAAACTGTTGAAAACTCATTCACAAATTGAATTGCAAATGAAAAGGGAAAAAAAAAAGTATTCTTAGTTAGGAAAATAGGCAAGGATTTCTTTGGAAACCTCAAAATCAATCTGGGTGTTACACACAACTTGGATTCCGAAATTATAGCATCCAGCTTTTCAGGGAAAAAAGGCAAAAAATGCTGAAAAATCATAAATCTTTGGAGACTGTGCTAGTTAAACTCCTGCTGCAGCACTGGGGGATTTAAAGTCAATAATCTGTGTTTAACAAGGCCTGTATTTTTATAGGAAAGCAAAGGCTTGTTTTGTTTTTTTGGAATTAGTGGGGAAGATAATCCATTGAGATGACATTGCAGTGGGTGAACTGGCTCCAGGTGAAGCCTATCCCCCCTTTTGCAAAACTCTCCAATATTTAGTCTCAGTATTTAGGTTGTTTTGACAGCAGTGCCATAGGCCAACACTCATGACCAAAGCTGGGAAATCTGTGCTGTGCACCGGCAACTTCCATGACAGCAGTTAGAAATTATCTCCCAGAATAGGTTTTAGTTTCTGTACAATTCCACAGGGTTGGCTGCTTTTCTCTCTAGTGGCATTTAATAGTCCAAACACCACACTTTTGACAAAACAAAGAATAATAAATAATTCATAGTTATGAATGGATCTGACCACTTCTGCACCGCCTGCTCTCCTCATATTTCTGTGTACAGATTCCTTAGGTTACCCAAGAAATGGAAATATTGGAAATATTCACATAATACAAAGCAGTGTGGCTTATTCATAATATGCAAGGCTTTAAGGGAAACCTACTCAAGAGTTTCTTTCATCCTAATAGCTTTCTAAAAGCACTTGATAGTTCTTCCCTGTGGCTGGCTCTGATTTTGCATTGTGTGAGGATACAGGTTATTAGAGGACTAATTTTCACTGAGTGGTTCATGTGAATAGGTGAAAATATCTGATGTGTGGGTTAAATCTGCAAAAATAGTAGTCCTGCATTTGAAAGCATGTAATACCCAGCATTTAAAATTCAGCTGGAGAATCTGCTGCCATTTGAATCAATAGGAAAATTCACTGATTAGCCTCTTCCTGTGTTCAGTAAAGCTGCTTACCTTTATTTTTGAGTCACTTATGCAGTGTGCTGTCAGCAGAGATTTTAGAAAAGCTGAGCACTTCCAGCTGTTGGTGGAATTCAGTTAAAATACTGGTGATAAGTAAATGCCTGACTCAGTCCTGTCTCACTGCCACTGACAGCCCTATCCAAGGTATTCTCTCCTGCATTCCCTCCTGCCCAGGTTAGCATCAAACAGCAGCACAGATGGGACAGCTCAGAGCAAGGGCTGACTTCAGGCAATTAGCTATGTGAGAAATTCCCCCAGGAAAGAAGTACAAAGCCGAGAAAATGTAGTCAAACAGCCAGGCACAACAATGAAATTTTTTCATACTGTCTAGCTAATAATTTGGTACTATTGGTTTTTTTCATATAATCAACTACGCTGGGGCAAACAGATCAAGTGCTGGAATAAATGGAAAAACTTGTACACATGACCTAGTGGGCACGGGGTGAGATCAAACACCAGGCTGAAGTCAGGACTAGGAGAGGAAGCAAGGCTTCACACAAAGGAGACTTCCATGTGCAAAATGAGCCATGGAGTGGGTGCCGAAATGAGTCAACATTTTTAGGATATAAGTCAGCGCTCTTATAAAATAATTTTATTCATTGGTGTCATTCTTTTTAACTACATGGGCAGCAGAAATTTGAAATGCTGCCAAGTCTGACTCAAAATTAATTTGGGTTTGTGCTTATGTGGAAGAGAATAGGCCTTTTGTCCATAATTCCATATAAGCTCCATAGGGTGACCCTGCACTGCACAGGATGTAGCTGAACAGCTGGTAATTGATGAGGTTTCCATTAACACATAACACAGTGTGCACAGTAATGAGATCACAGGAAAAGCTTTTTCAAAGTGTTAAGTACTTTCTTGTACAAGGAGCCGAGTTCGTAGTATAAGGGAATAAGGAGCCTGTTTTCCTGGAACAAGGCAATAAGAATCTTGATTTCCTGGAGGAGTTCAACACATAGGTGTATTTGTGCTCAACACTGGGTTCCACAGACATGATGAAGCAAGTGCAGT